GATTACACCCCGATTTACGTCCGTGCGCTGACTTATTTGTTTTCTCTCTAGGTCCACCCGAGCAAAGCGGCATCATCTCGACCGCCATCGCCAACGCGCAAGCAACCCCGCCGCCCCACGGCAACGAGAACGTGAGCCTGCTGCAGCAGGAAGCCGCCAAGAACAGCGCCAACAAGACACAATTCACCTTCACGTGCGGCTCCGACTCGGCAAACAAGATGGTCTGGCCCGGCCAGGAAAACGGTCCCTACCCTCAACCGCCGGGCGCCTACCCATCCTCCAACGCCGCTCCCCACCCTCAGACCGCTCGTGCTCGCCCACCCGTCCGCCCCGACGCCCCGATGGTGTCGACCCAGGGCACCCAGACGAGCCCCAGGATGAACGGCACGCATGCACCTGCTGCCAACAGAAACGCCCCACCGCCCCAGAAAGGTGCTCAACCGCCGCCGCAGCAACAGCAGGCACCGCCGCCACCAAAGCCCAAGCGCAGTGCCTCGAAGCTATACAAGCATGCTGCAAACAAGCGCCGCATCCAGCAGGAATACGCAAACTTCCACAACCCGCCCCCCAACCCCTGGATCTGCGAGTTCTGCGAGTTCGAGGACATCTTTGGCTACAAGCCCAAGGCCCTGATCCGGCAGTATGAGAGGAAAGACAGACAGGAGCGAAAGAGGCTGGCCGAGAAGCGTCGCTTGCTGGAGAAAGCCAGGATGAAAGGGCGCAAGGGCAAGAAGGCGAGCAAGAAAGCACAGAACAACGCCAACAACGCCCAGCAGTCTCAGAATGCTCCGCCAGGTGGCTACGACCGACGTGCCGACGACGGCTCTCTCGATCCGCAGGACGACGAGTACTATGACGACGAGTACGACGATCTTCCGCACGCACCTGTTCCGCATTGTCACCACGTTTGTCAGCATCACCCGCACCCGCCGCCGCAGAAGGTGCCTGGCCTACCTCCCGGTGACCCTCGACTAGGCCCGCCGCCAATCACGAATGGCGCCTAGCATCTGGACTCGACGGGGTGGGCCGTCCGTGTTCTTGCGTTGTCTATTTTTGCTCTTTCCGTTTGCATTGCCGTCGTGGTTGGATCATTCGAGGCATCTAGCAGTACAGCACACTTTTGGAACAAGTGGATATCTGGTTCGACGGTCGGACAGCTTAGTTAAAGAGCAGCACATGCGCTTTTCCTATTCAAGTTCTCTATGCTGGAGAACGTTCGTTCAGCGCCGGAATTCCCTTGAGTCTAACAGTTGTACTGCTAAATCGCTCTCGATGACCCTTCTACGGCTCCCTTTTTTGCCCCCTTCCCAGCGTTCAGCATCACATCAGCATTTGCAGCATTTCCTGGAGCCCTTGTTTTACCACCCAAACCACCACACCATACCCTCCCCAACTACAACCTCACGAAGCAGACTCTTCAGAGTCAACAACACCCCACTCCACATAACGAGAAAAAGACCATACTCGGCATACGGTTTAGAATGGCAGAAATATCGTTCGTAACGATTAGTACTGTAAGAAACTGTGTCAGCGGAGGAAAGACTGAGACTACACCGAGATTGGCATGCCTTTTCAGGTCAAGCATAAACTCAGATTATCAACATTGGAGACAATTGTCAGGGATATAGTGCGTCATGTCAAGATCTGTACACTCATTACTACTTTGTGTATAGCGTGCTGTTGGAATACAATATGTCTTAAAGTCTCCTAGTCCGTTCACGATGTGTGAGAGCCTTGTTATGAGGTGAGAGTAAGTTGATGCCGTGTCGCGTTTCGCCTGTCGTTCAAATGCGCTGTTGCGGCTTACGTATAGCACCGCCCCATCTTGTTCAAGGCTGCACTGCACGTCATTTGATGACCCCACTATCAACTTTCGTTCGTAGGCTGTTCCTTCTTACACATATGTTACTCTCCGCGGCGTCACGCGCATCACCACATTCGTCGTTCGCAATGGGCGACGACGCGCTAGTCACTCCCGTGCTTAAGCATTTGTCTAAAGAGGGGACTTTGAAGGCGTTGTGCGATACCTGTCGCGGGCTCCTGATCCAACCGGATGTGAATTTACATGCGGACACGAGTAAGACATACTATACTGAACAAATACGGGAAGCTGCAAGATACGGGTGTCAGATTTGTACTCGTCTTCACAAATCTCTATGTCGCAATAATGGACCATCGGACGATATGAAAGTGACTTCAATTACAGCCAGTTTATACGAGTCGAATACACACCTCCTCTCACTCAAGAAGCACACCAACTTTGAGCTACCAGATAGTCAAGAAAGAACGATTTTCTTCGGCAAAGACACGCTTTGCCTACAATTGGGGCCTTATATATCCACAAACGGTCACCTCAAGATGCATATGGAACGACTACACGCGACTGATCCTCTCAACGTTCCAGTGGCCAGTTCCATCGTTTCACACAGTGGCAGTGATCTACGATTTGCGACCATGAAGGCCTGGCTAGATGAATGTACACAAAATCATAGTCATTGTCAGCGCCTTATATCTGGACCACGGAATGTACCGTTGCCAACTAGATTGATTGAAGGAAGTGCGGCAGTCGGAATGCCCTTTCCTGGTTCTGACAGAACAATTAGTTGACAAGCCATCGCTTCGCTATGCAACTCTGAGTCATCGGTGGTGTATTGCCGCGAACATGCCTTTGCTACTCAAGGACAATCTCCTTGAGCTGCAAAACAGCATACCTATCAACAATCTACCCAAAGTATTTCGAGATGCGATAGCAATGTGTCGTCGCCTTGGCATCGACTATATTTGGATCGATTCACTTTGCTTAATCCAAGACGATGCCATAGACTGCGAGCGGGATATTGCGAATATGGGCAACATTTACACGAATGCATTTCTCAACTTCGGGGCGACTGGTGTAGCCGATTTTCCAGAATGGGGACTCTTCTATGAGAGTAATCAAGACGACCTACTGCCCTTCCACGTTCCAGTCCATCGTAAAGGGCATGTGTTAGACTACCTCGTATGCAATTTCGACTCATGCCGTGTACCGGGATCTACAACATTGATGTCACGTGGATGGGTTCTACAAGAAAGATTGCTCAGCCGCAGATCGATTTACTTTGACGATGTCTTATCTTGGGAGTGCCATGCCATGCTGGCGAATGAAGTGTTTCCTGGAGGCATACCTTGGGATCGTGATTCGTTACCGTATTGGGGCATCCACCAGCCATTCAAACTATCAAGACTCTTGGACATAGAAGACTCGAAGCACGATGCCAAACATAAGAAAGCCAAGCTGTACGAGAGATGGCGTCTTGTCTGCATGGCATTTGCCAAATGTAGGTTGACTTACTCGACCGACGCATTGCCTGCGATCTCGGGTCTGGCAAGAGCTTTCGGTCGAGCTCTTGATGATGTTTATCTCGTTGGACTCTGGCAGAAAGATCTCATATTAGGTCTGCCTTGGTAAGTTAATCGCGGGTACAGGCCTCGCACGCACAATCATGAAGCCACAAAATACCTAGTCTTCATAGGTAAGCCTGTCCTTTTAAAAGCGCTATAAAGCCGTGTGCAACGTATTTACCATGTAAGACAGCCCCTTCATGGTCGTGGCTATCAGTAGCCTGCGCAGTGGACTTCATTGCAGAGCGACACGCGAGTTGGGGCATTAGGACTATGAACGATCAAATGCAATCATCGCGGAGTAAATTGGGCACAGCTTCCAGACTGAAAGCAGCGATCCCATGGGCCGGGTATTCGCTGGTCAAGTCAAACTCCTCTGCCATGTTCGACCAGCTTCACAATCGAATCACCGTACATGGCCAAAGACCCGCCATGGTAGCACGAGCAATTCGACGGCGGTTACAATGGAAATTGGCAAAGAGACGTTCAAGGGTCATGGTACTGCGTACTTGCTCAGCACGATCGAAGTCTGTACAAACTATATGAAACTGACCATGACGAAAAGCGTGGCATGGCGCGCGGTCACATCAACGGCTTGATCCTTGAGATCGCACAAGAAAACCCCAGAATGTTCCGAAGAATTGGTTGCTTCACTCATCCGTGGATTGCGGAAGGATCGAAGTCCATGCCAGAGTATCCGGAGTTCGCGGACGTGGTTGATCCGCAGTCCCTGGAGCGCGAGGAAATCACCATAATCTAGATTAAGTAAGGTCGTTTCGTGGGCCCTGTATAGATTCAAAGAGGGACTGATCGTCAATCAAGTACTATCAAGGCTGCGAATGGTATATAGGACACATCCAAGCCAAGTCACTGATCACCAAGGCTGTATATCTTCGCGGAGCAATGCATGGTATTAATACGAGCTCTCAAGATCATTAAAATCCTTCAGTCCACCGTAAGCCACAGCTCTCCATCGTACTCGACCTCGACACTATACTCGCTACTCGGCGTCGAGTTCTTCGGTACCCACCCAGTCTCCCGAATGAACCTCTCAATCGCCTTCTCCGTCAACGGCTCCGCACCCGCAGCCACACCCGAATCCCCAATTTACCATCTCCTCCCACTTTCTCCACATTCCCTATGCAGCTCTTCACAGTCCAGCGTAAAGGACTTTGGTCGAGCTAAACCTAGCCTCGACACCAAACCCCTCCACAACCCGTTCCTCCACCAATCCTCTCTCTTCAACCACCTCCCCACTCCCAACCTCCAATTCTTCCAGGGGTAGCAGCGCTACTAGTCAAACTCAGATCCGCGCGCAAAGACTCACGATAATCGCGATCCGAAACCACACCCTCCCTCCCAAACACTTCCTCATCCCAATGACTCTTCCCCAGCCCCACGAGCCCAGCCTCCGGCGCCATCCACAGCCGGACCAATCGTTCCGGCTTACTGCAGACTATGTGCAGTCTCTGCACCACCGGCAGCGCATCGTGAAGTACAACCTGCAGCTCCGTCCAAGTGATGTTCAAATTCGCCTTGGGATTTTCCGCCGGCGTGATAACGAGCTGGATCGTGCTCTTGTCGTTCACGGCGATTTGGGCCCAGTCTTCTGTCGTGTAGATGCTGTAGGACGCGTAGCATTGGGAGAGGTAGACGGCGCGTGAGGCTTTGGAAGCGAGTGCTTGTGCTGGTGGAGGGGAAATGGATGTTATGTCCAAATCGGCACCTTCGCGGATGTGCAATGTGGTGGTAACAGGCATACTGTGCTGCCAGATGAGGTCTTGGAGCTCTGGGGGGAGGTGGGTGAAGGGGTGAAATATTGATGGAGACATTTTTTCATGTCTGGCAGAACTGTGATGGGATGTATGCGTGTGTGATAATGTGATATGAGGGGATAGATGTGATGAAGGGAATAGGGCGACATTTAGTTATTTATACGATTTGGAAGGGGGACTGTGCGCGCTGCTCTAACTGTGGTGTTTGGTACACGAGGGAAATGTCTGTGAAAGGGTTTTCTGTGGTTCGGGGTATTGAGGGGACTGGATATCTTCGGCGGACTTTGGTTCAAATCAGTGGAAATCTCAGTAGTGCGTATACATCGAGGGTCTGATATCAGACTCGAGCTGCTTTGGGCATTATTGGACCTTTTGGTTGGAGACGTTGAAAATATGGTTCACGAGGATGGGGTAGGCTTGACATATTCAGTGCACTTTGGTTCGATTTTTTTTGGAAGTCTTTATAGCGCCAAGATACTCAGAACTTACCATCAGACATAGGCTGTTGAAAGTGTTGTAGTACCTTCGATTAGGGATATTGGATGTATAGTTCGCAGGATTAGGTAGGCTGTATATTTTCGGTAGACTACAGTTCGATCTAGTAGAAATCTGAGCAGCGCGAACATATTCAAGACGCACCATCATGCGTAAGCTATTGGAAACATCACTATAAATTGTGGTTGTAGATGTGGAAAATGGGGTTCTGATGATCTGGTAGTCTGGATATCTCTCATGTACTATGGTTCGATGTAGTGAGAATTGGAGTTGCGCGAACATATTCAGGACACGGCAGCAAGTAGCAGTGCGTTGTAAGAACTGTGATCTATTTTGGTAGAATACTGCTCCGAATGTGGTGCGCGTAGATGCGACTCAAATGTCTTCGCCCCATCGCAGCACAACGATAGGTGATGGTTCAGTACAGTAAAGATATCCGAGAACCCTCATCGTGCTCCATCGATTCTTAGCAGGGTTGTCATATTATCGTTTGCAAAAGATGTGCACCCCCCCTCAGCCTCACTGAATAGAGCGTAGAGACACCTCTGTATACTCCTATTGGCTTAGATCTTCGTGATAGTCTAAGAGGGTCTAGATAGCCGTTAACAGGTGTCACTTTTAGAGCGAACTAGATAATTCTAACCTCTAAAATTGCTGCCCGCAATATGATATCATTAAGTACATCACCGCTCTTCTGTTACATCATTATTTATCATAGACTTTTGTCATTATAGAAGTTCTAGGGGGGTGCACATCTTTTGCAAGGCACCGATATGATCTTCACAGTTTGACACTTGCAATTAGCAAGGTCGCATAAGAGGAATTCTTGATATTCTCCAGGGAGAAGGACGACCCCATTTTCAGCGGCAATATTGGGCAAAGGGTGTGCAAACATGCCGATCCTTGCCTCTGTCCCGGGCCCCTCGAGTGATTCGATGAATAAAACCCACTTTTAGTTGCTGCCTAGCGTCGTGCCACGGTCAAGCCAAAGGCCTTTTCTGGGTGGGTCGAGTAGCTCATGAGACAATGATATATATCATTGTTCGTTTTGTCTACCGGATAGAATCAGTGGCGTGTATCGTACCATTCGAATTGTTGGTGAACATCATGACCTGTTCTAATGCGTGGCTTCGTTCTTCGCATAAGTCCAGTCATAGTTACATGACCCCCCGAGATATTGCCTGTTGGATCACTACCTCTAAGGAATGTGATAGATTCAAGAATCCGAGCGGTGTGCATGAACCTTTCAAGAACGGCATCGCATAAATTGAAAAGAAATTCGATGTTGAATGGCTTGAAAGCACATGACCATGTGAGTACTCCAGGTTAGTCTTTGCGCCCGTTAAAGTATCGATGCAAGTGCCATGCAAGTGCCTACCTGTATAGCTTTGTGAAGTATCTTCTATACAAATCCAAACACGACTGGCATCACAAAACTACAGAAGTTCATAAAAGAGGTCCTTCTTCAACAGTCGTGCCAAGTATTCATCGACGAACTCCCGCGCAAAGTATTTTGCAAGGCCGGAGAACCCAAGCAAGCCATCCGAAGAATGCGTAAGATCACACTGAGAGAAGACCTCTGCCACCTCCATCCAGCACTGTTAATTGCTCGACAGCACTGCCACCAGCCCTGTTGCCAGACATGATTCCGACGATCAGCAATATTTCGGGAATGCACGAGAAGACTTCCAATTCGGAAGGGCGCCTCTTATGCACAGAGACGTGGCTTATGTCGTGCATCACATTCATGTGTCGCTCCACGAGGGTGATATTCGCTCGCGAGAAGCTCAGAGCATTCCCATCGAAGTTCGCCGACATCGAAATAGATCGAGCATGGACTCAGAGATCGCTCCTGTAGTACCCAACCGCGTGACATCAAGTTGGAGAGATTGAAACCCTCAGGGTGGGGCGGGAGTGTCGATATAGCCTAATTCGTCGAAGTCGCTGCGTCGAACTCTTGCGCAGATTGGATTATGTTCCTCCGTATAACTGCTATGGGCAGTTTAAAAGACCATCTTTTGTATACATTTCTGCTGCGACCAGCGCTCAGATGTTTAGACAAGCATGTGCATAAACTTGATGATCTAGAGCGTCTCTATCCAGAGATATGGTATAGCCAGGAATTGGCAAACCCGAATAGCATCCCGGAAAGTTCGTGGTGGGGATAAGAGGTCAATCCGTCTGCTTAAGGCGTCTTTGTCCGCTTGAGTCAAAACAAATAGGCATTTGCATCCCCATCTATGAGTGAGCGTCGCATATGGGAGTCGCCGTGACATTGCTACCCTTGCCAGCTTGGTCAGGCTCAATCAATTTTAGTCGGTCGCTTTTCTCAACAGAAATGAGGCGTGATACAATGTAGCTTTTTCTATCAAAGAAAGGATCAATAAGAGTATGGCATGTCTTGTGGTTCTTAAAACATTCGCTCATCCACCTGTGTATCATATCCGGCACTTTCCGACCTCCTGTACTGTTCGAGACTATAGGGCGGGCAACAGGCTTGTATGAGACATCTCGGCGTGAGCTCCGGACCACAGGACCCACGTCGATTCCTGTGACCCAATTACCATAACAACTGTCTCTGGGATCTCGCTGTGTGGCATTTCTTCCCACTCCAATGTAACAGTGTGTGAGATCAGTTGGGAAGTTGGTCGATATGTCGAGTGCATCTCATTGACTTTGAAGCATAGCTTGATCCGAAGAGATCTATTGACGGCATGAAAACCAAGTCTGTTACAAAGTCGGCAGTGTTTGGAGACCATATCCAGAGTAAATATGATTAAATGATCCAAAGTATCCTCACATCTGGCTATAGATGGACGTTCCAAGAGAAACCTACAGAGGGCACAGATCAACGGATCGAGCTGCCTTGCTAATGTCAGGAAGTGAGTGTCAGTCTCAGGATAGATAGTGTTGTGGAAGATGAAGTAGCAGGTGTATTGTAGGGTAGACGAATCGCTGACCCTGCTAGGGTCCTAGGAGTCGACTACTTATACTAAGTGCTTCCTTATGTAAGCACGCCCTAATCCTACACCCATACCCCTGCCGTCTAACAGCTAATTCGAGGGGCCGCCACCGAGCGAACCGGGAAGAAGGTGTGCTAGCGACCAACATTGAAGGACGTTTTCAGTACCCAAAGTGCATTGATTTGACTCGGACTAGAAGTGGATGTTCTTCACAAGATGTACGGTCGTAACTCATGTCGACGTGGCCATGCCTACGATGGCAAGGCGACCTACCTTATTTGACCCCTGGGGCGCATTTGTTTCGTGCATGTGTACGACTATAGGTCGTGGACTTACAGACAGAATGGCTTGTCCTGTGACAATAGGCATCGAAACGTGATGCATCAGGATGATGGGGCAGTGTGGAGGAAAGACGAGAGGTTCGCGTTGCCTTTCCTGACCTGAAAGGGCAAGTGAGCCCCACTTTGACACCACACTGTTGCGAGTAAGTCAGTGAAAACTGACCGTCCTGGACTTCCCTATTTGGTTAGCTCCGTATCGCCAGTTTATAAGCAAAATAACGCCCGTGTCATGAGCCGCTCACCCTCTGATCAGCCTGCACCGCCACAGCTCAGGACGCTTAGGTCTCGCTCATGCTTGGTGACTAGATTTGACTAGGTCTGCTGTAGATGCTGATTATGATAACTTTAGTGCGACGCCATTTGCATTAGGTGGTGCTCCCAATATGGCCGCAGGAGGATGACGAGGTGGCCTTAGACAGGGCCACACTGCACACTGAAAGGAGACGCTTCCTCCCCTCGTTCACCATGGCTAGATGAGTTCTTCTGTACGCACTAAGTAGTACATTTACGTAACAGGGTCTTAGAGAGCAAATCTAATAGACATTTATTACTATCTCGATAGATATAGACAGCAAGGTTAGCGCGTTTAAAAGATACAATTATTGTAATTTTTCTGCCCGGCGGGCTTTCCGGCAGGCTTGAGCCACCCACTCACCAAACATGCTTGCATATCATCACCAACTAGAAAATAATTGTCTCAAGCACGAGGTAAATCCAGCGTCTATTCAGCATGGCCTACCTCCAACTGACCTATCACTCAGGACCCAGAGCACGAGCACATAGAAACACTCTGCAGCTCGAAGATTGCGCACAGTGCGGCTGTACAGAAGAGCTGACAGATCACTGCAGTCACTGCTACCACTGTCAGACATGTTCGAGCGCGGTGTGGTTCGGCTGCCGTGTATGCCCTCACTCACCGGTGCCGAGCGTGTATCGCTTGTGGTTCAAGAATAAAGTACGTGCGGCGGAGAGCGAGAAACCTGGCGGGGGCACGGAGAAGACGGGTGATGGCCGAGAGAAGGAAGATGGATTGACCGAGCAAGAGAGGCGGTATGCTGCTCGTGGACCATCGCCGGAGTCGCCGGACTTTTCGTACGCGTTGTTGGATGATGGGATTCAGTAGCTTCGTCCATCGTCGCGAGATTTGTCGGATTTGTCAGACGCGTTGGAGAGCGAGGGTGAGGCGAAAAAGCAGGGCGAGGCGAATACTCCACCGGGTAGCGCGCCGCGACAATGAAATCAGCCATATTACATAGCCAAGGCAGTCTCCACACGCGATATTGGGAATGGACACACTACACTCAAGTTCATTACACTTTGTGGATGGCGCTAGAAAGTAGAAATCTGACATTTCACGAATTACGCTATGCTAGTCACACCGCTCAAAGCAAATCATTGCTCCACAAATATTTTGACATGTATTCGAATTTGGCGTCGCAGGTGATGGGCTTGCAGGAGCGGGAGGTGGGGTCGGGGCAGGAGCTGGTGTTGAGAAGGTGGCCGCAATACCTCTAGACTCCGGGCTCCACCGACACGGCGCTGTTGCCTCTGGTGCCACGGACCAAATAGTTGCCCTGTTATCTCCACACTTGCAGTACTCCTTGGGCTCTCGTGGCTGATTCGATGCGGCTCTGGTGAAGTGTCAGTATAATTTTCCGAAGCGCGCTTTGCGGACTTACCCATGGAGACCGAACGGGCTTGTGTCCTCTTTCTTCTGATATCCTGGAATTGTGTTTGGATCTCCGCCTCAGAGTTTCTGCAGAGATATTGCTGCCTGTGTGCCGAGGGCAGCAGCATTGTTCGTGGCTGGAAAGGTTTCGTGGATGTTGACGTCCATTGACTCGAAATCAGGATTTTTGCATGGACGGCCTTTGAACTTGTCTGCTTTACACATATCTTCGTCTTTTTCTTCATCGCTTTTGAAATCATCCGCAGGACATTTCGGAAGCTTTTCAGGGCAGCACTGGCATCCCTTGAGCTTACCTTTGGCGGTGCATTGCAGGCTGGAGTCCTGTCATCAGTGTCAGTTATATGATCGAGTCGGAATGGAAGTTCGAAGGTAACACACATTGCCATTGCAGTCTTGGGCGGGGCAACTAGCGGTTTTATCCTTTGGGCAGTTTTGTTCTTCGCAGGGTCCTGCAGTAATGTCAGTACAATGTCGACTACCTCGCTTTCTTCGCTCATTACTCACAGTTCTGCCGGTTTCCGCTCGCACATAGCCCCCAGGGGTTGTTGCCACCGCCATTGTCGCAATCAGGCTCCTCGCCTTGATCTTTACAGCTATGGTCATCTTCTCGGGAGCCTTCAGGCTTTTGTGGCGGTGGCTGAAACAATATAGCTGCCGTCGCTTCATTTTGAGCTATAAAGGATTAGCAAGGTACTGTGATATGTTCACTAGAGTACACTAACATGCTAGATACCATGCAATACCGCCAGCGAAGACAACTGCAGCTACAGTCTCAAGCCCAGGGCCAGCACCAGACGTTATCGCGGTCTCCGTTAGAGAAATAGTGGTCGATGCTCGCAGGTCGTGGTATTCACTAAGCGTCATCAGTTCCCATAAGACAATTCCCGTTTAGTCGCCGATAACTGAAGTCATAGTGACTTTGGGGCTGCTGTCTAGACCTCTATCGTCAGAGCACTTACAATAGTATCCGTGGCAAGGCTCTCCACCTAGACAGTATGCTTGATCGCTACACACAAGGAGACTATTGTAGGTGCTCTTGATACTGTTGTTGCCTCCGCACATAGAATATTCCTTCGGGTCCTGAATAAAGAACAGGGGATTTATTGGTTTTGGCGAGGGAATTTCGAGCGAAAGGCACGGTGCGAAGGCGACGTGTTACTGCCAATCTCCACATGATGTAGTAGTGACCGCGGCGTGTTACCGCAAATATCCACGCGGTGTGGTAGTGACCGCAAGGTGGGCTGCGATAGTGGAACGATTGCACGAGCCGCTGGGCTAGCGATTAATGCAGTAGTCTCTTGCGGGAAGAAGAGGGCAAAGAATGAGACGAGGGTGACAATGTACATCTGCATGGTCGCTGTGGTTCAACTGCTGAGTGTTTGATTCAATTTTGCAGAGGAAACAGGCTCGTCTTAAGCATTTAGACTCTCCGATCCTCAAGATGTATCCACTTTGCATTGCACTCTCACTAAAACGTGTTCGTGCCGCTTGCTCGCATTTTTCAGGCCTAACTACGGCGCAGCTTCGCAGGCAGCATTGATTAAGACGTTGTGCATGGCGAAGTGAACAAATTTTGATAGTCTCACGTTTCAAAATCCTACAAACGAATTCTGAGGGTAGGAGTCCGACCAGTTCTTCTAAGTTGGGCTGACTCGAAGTGTATGGACAGGGATTGAAACTACGTGCTATGCCCACTTGAACAATGACGAATGTCTACCGGTCAGGGCCGTGAGAAAACGAGTGAAAAGTACTCCGGCGGAAGTCGCTTCTTATCCCTCTTTCCCAGTTGTTCCTAAGCTTGCCTCAGCCTACCAAAACACAACATGTCCACTCACCGCACCCCACCCGCAGGCACAGTGATTCACCGTAGCTTTCTAGTGTTCCGCCCCAGGCTCTCATCATGTCTTCTCTCTCAAGCACTAGCGCATGATGTAGATCGGTCCTTCAATAGAACCAATACAACCCGATTCACTCACGTTCCATATTTGGTCCCATTGATATCTACTGGGACGAGCTCCAGTCGGCCACGCGTTCCAGGATCAACAGCTATACATGAAAGTAAGAAAAAATCTCTTTCTAACCTCGTTTCAGTTTGCCATAAGGAAAGCGATGGATCTATCAAAAGTTTTAAAGAATCTACCGAGTGGTCGTGATGCTGCAGTCGCCTCCGAAGCTATTATGGTGTACTGTGTATTTAGCTCACTTCTCTTAACAAATAAAGCACTCGTGCACAGACTGTACCGCGTACAAGACAGTAAGTTTGGTAGTAGAACTTCGTATTCATTACAATCAGACCATTGCTGGTCATTGAAAGCATACTACATGTCCTCGTCGTCCAAGCGGGTTATCAGCAGTGCAGACAATAGAGAAGCACAGCAGCAGGCTGCGAATATCATCTCTGTCCCAAGTTGTATCGAGCCGTCACCAGTATTTCCCACCACGCTAAATACGACTGTTGCTAGGAAAGACACTAGCATCTGCGGCATCGAAATAGCTATGTTGCTGAGGCTTTGGAGCCAGGCAGCCCACCGCGTACTACGACCAGCTTGCCCGTTGCTCAGTATTTCCATGTTGATTAGCGTGAACGGGATCCATTGCGTCACAGCCCAGCTCACTCCCGCCACAGAAGCCATGAAGATCGAACCGGCAGCCGACTGTACCACAAGAATACCCATCAGACTCGCTGCATAAAGAAGCTGAGAAACACACCATGTGCGACATTTCCAACCCAGGAGGCCATGTTTCAACGCCAGCCATGAACACAAGGATGGACCAACAGACGTCGTTAGCAGTGCCACACCGGCAAAGCATAGCAAAGCCAACGAGCCGTACCGAGCCCTATATTTATCGCTAATTGCTCCGAACTGACTAGCATAACCGGGTGAATGAGTGTCGGTTTCACTACTTGCTCTCAACACCTCTGTCCGAGCCAATTGGTTGACATAGCTAGGTAAAAGCATTATCAGAGAGAATGGCCTTGCACAAAAGACACATGAAAAGGACATACCTGCTTATGTAAGATAGGAACGGAAACCACGCAAACCAGGACAGGAACTGCACACCCTGTATGATCCACATTCTCCTTGACAGTTTCTCGCTACCAAGAGATGTCCAATCCCGCAAGGTCCTTCTTTTTCTTTTTGGAAGCTTATGCTCTTCATTAAAATCTCTATCGAGCTGGCTCTCACCAGCGCATAGACAAGTCGTGGCTTGTGTAATTCCTACCCACAAGGCACCGAGCCTACTCAGAGCCTGAAGTTGAGTCGAGCCAGCCCACGGTAGTAGCCCAGGAATATCCACGTAGGCCAGCATATAGCAAGTTACGTTGGCTGCATTCGTTAAACGTCCCGCCCAAGCATTCGCCTCGGACTGCTGGTGGTCAAGACAAATGTCTATCAGCAGCGCTCGAAGTCCCATCTGAATGGCTGACGCCGAGATGTTTATCGTTAAAATGAGCAGAACAGCAAGCATCTGCGCTGCGGGACAAGAGTTGGGCGCACGGCAGTACTCGACACGCATTCGGGAGTGCCCCATCACCTCAGCAAAGGCAAGAAGAGAGGCGGATAAGCCGATGGCACCGCTCACAACGAAAGGTTTTCTTCTACCCCATCGGGTTCGAGCCAGGTCGCTCCACGCGCCGAAGAAAGGCTGCATGACGGTACCGCACAGAGGAGGAACAAGCCATAGAGCGCTTATCGAAGCACGGCTGAATCCAAGTAAACCCAAAGCGTCCTAAAAGGTTAGCACGCTTCGACACCTCTCGCTTTACAATAAACATTAGCGTCTACTTACGGTAGCGAAGGCAAACTGGATTGAGTAAGCGACCTGAAGTCTTCTCTCCCCATCGGCATTAGCAAATTGCATACGCATCGCATCGGAGCATCCGTTACCCTGCAAAGCCTGAAGTCAGGCCGACCAATTCCATGGAGCTTCTTCCTTGCTTGATTCGTTCGGACATCTGTAGGGACTCCATAGCTAGGGGCATACTTGTAGAGCACAAAATAGAGGGTTAAAAGGGTGGGAGGAGTAGAAAGAGTCGAAAGGGGCTAGTCTTGGCGTGCGAGCGATTCAAGATCCGGACCGAGGCTTGCGTGAGGATTCCATTCGCAAATTAGATCAAGATGTAAAGGATACAATATCAGAGTGTCTTGAATACGTGCTTCAACTGAGTGCGCAAAGTTTTCGGTTTAACCCTCAGGCACTTCCTCGTTGTTCCAGAAGCGGCGCACCAGGATCGGAGCCGGATACGGCACCCTCGCACAGATGGTTTGCGCATGAAACTTGTACATTATATTGCCGTGCGTAGACTACTTGATTGCGAAGTGATGAACAGCGCTATCATAGGATAAACTTTTGCACAAACAAAGGACTAAAGCATTGCTGCCCCGCAGTCATACTTTGATGGCCATATAAGAACTAACAGTATTTCATATTCGGTACGAAATGTCTTTTGTTATTTATCTAGCGTGTCATACATTCGATGCGCTTCTCCGGGGCAGAGACCTTAATTACTGTGCCATTGCGAAGTTCATCGACTCTAGGCTGACCGTTGATTGTGATGCAATGATTTGTATGTTCATCAGACAAAGTATCGCTATCCCAAGCTGTTCCGCCATATTTCCACGCTATCCACTGCTTCTCCCAGTAGTAAGAACAGTGCAAGTGATGATGTCCTCCAGTTGTATATATAACCGGATGATCTCCGCGTAAGGCAACGTCTAGGGAAATCTCAGTAGTTCCGTCGAAGTCGATGTGATATATCAGATTCAGCTGTCTAAGACGTTCGACATATTTGGCATAAAGCTTGCTGTCATGGCACGTCGAATCGATCCATGATCCGATGATAAAGTCGTACACACAACCGTTCCCTTGATTATCCTTGGAGGTAAGTCCGCAATAGCCGAGACTCGAATAGTTTCGATTGGCGAAGAGCTGGCGGCGCTCTGCCGCAATATAACCTGCCCCTCCACCAGCCATGACTGATGCAACAATCACGAGGAGATACGGTATCCAGGGTCTCGATACAACCGCTTTGACAACGTAGTCAATGTGAATTTGGGTCGTGCAGATGTTCCAGCGGTTCTTGAAGCGGTTTGCCCATGGAGTACGTTGTCTGGTTGGATAGGGAGGGGAGAGAGATGTGGATCGGCACCCAAATGATAATGTTTCCGTACTTTCGTCGAAGCGCTCACTTAGCCGTTCATAGGAATTAGGCGACATCATGGATGTGAAATGAAGATATTATTATGGTAAAGTTATTCCGATTTGTTAAGCGGCAATGTAATGAGTATTGCGTACGCAACTAGTTGGATGGATGGATGGATAGAGCACAAAAGGTGCATTCATAGATGCAACGCAAGAAGAGGTATTCCTAATCTTGTGTCTGTAAGTTGAATGCACAGCCAATATGCGAGACTCGGTTATGAAGGACTCCGGCAATTTTTCAAGGTGCGTGAGAATATTGACGGCTCCAAGTTTGGTGGCCACCTCCATAGTACCATGTCCATGCGTATACTGCTCGGATCTGCGTACCGATCGGATCTACATACCGACTGGGTCTACGTACCGCACGGATGCGTGTACTGTCTGGATACGTGTACTTTCCGAAACTCGTGCACTTCCGGAATTTTGTACTGCTCAGAATCGCTTAGTCGCAACGGACGGTTGTTGCAGAAGCTTACTGCATGTGGTTTGCATGTGAGACACCCCCTTTGGTTCTTCTTGGCGTTGAAATCTATGAAGCACTGCGATTAAACTTTCGGCATACTTTTTGTACTTTGTTGCTGTCTTCCTCTTCTCTTCCGAGCTGCTGCTCAGCTCCAAGGTTTGCGTGCATCAATTCCTTCACCCCCTTGCGCCATCCTCGTGTCATGCTCTTCAATGTCCTTCGCTACCTCCCGAGAGTTTCTTATGCAATGTTTAAATTGTATAGCCTATTAGTACGGTTCGGCCCCCATCATACGTGCCTTATTGAGCTCCTCCACCTGCTTCGTCTCCTTCTCCATGCGCTCTCAGTATCAGGATGCAATCTTGTACCACTAGACTCTGCAACCAACAATTTAAGTATGATTGGTAGATAGCTAATCATCGGGCGTGTCAATACGTATCATCAACCCCGCCTGACACTCTGATCTTGGCTTTTCGGGACATTTGGGGTGACTACAAGCGTCAAGGGCCCATACTAACCAAGAGCTGTATATTTGCACCCTCTTTCTGATAGAGACTGTCATAGGTGAATCAATAGTCCCAAGTTGAGCCTTTTTTTGTTAGTATGGATGGCCACGCTGGGTGTTTTGGTACATCCCAGCCAACATTTAAAATACACGTTTTTCACAAGCTTTCAGAGGGTAAACTTAGATACGAATCAGATTTAGTGCAGAATGTATGATTCAAAATCTAGGACTCGCCCGTATTTTATCGCTGGAGACACACGCGTGCACTGGCTCGACCGATTTCTCAACCCTCTCAACTAACGATGAGTTGCATTATTGTCCCGGAAAAACCGCTCGGTATGAATCTGTCTTAGAACCTTCTGGAGAAATGTTCTCGTATCGAATGGATCTGATCGGATCATTGGCCCATGCTCGCAGCGCAGAATAATTTCGACACAAGACTTGCTGACTCGTGTTTGCTTTCGATGATCCAACTTCGTGAGCGTAGGATAATGGTGTAGCGTCTGCCATACAAGTGACAGCCTCCTGTAGAACATTTATGCAATGTAACACATGTTCGGAAGGCCACTGTGAGGTATTGTTTTGGACTTTGTAGCCAAATGCCTCCGTAAGAACTATCTACGCATGGAAAGTTAACCTTCACCGTTGATCATGTTGGCAGATACATACTATGCAATGCATTTGCAAGAACCCCCGAATAATATATAATCTGTGACCGTCTAAAGGTTCGGACACAAGCGGCACTGCAGGAAGCTGATAGATTTGGCCATCGCTGCTCCTATACGAAGCAAATCCATCGTTAGCTAAAACATCCGAAGCTACCACTATTGTCAATCGCGAAAAGAGGATTTGTCACTGGAACACTACTTACAATTGTGCAACACTTTTAACCTCCTTACGGCTTTTTTAGTCGTCTCCAAATCATCGAAAGTAGTCGAGTCTAAGTAGTAAGGACTCTTCTTGTCGAAAATAGCTGTCCACTGAAGAGGCTCCCCGGCGTCTGTTACCTGTCAGATATCAAGTTTTTTTACCATGGCTTGTCTGTGAGCTGGATCAAACACACTTACAAAACGGAACAAACTTGAAAGGATCAGCTCCTAATAGGACAGCTCGAGGCCTAGTACTCAGATACAAAGCGTACAAGAGTGCTATTGTGAGCAGTGTAAGAAGAGTAATAATGGCAACGTAGCAGCGCTTAAGCGATTTCTTAAAGCGTATGAGCTCAATGTATTCATCGAGCCTTGCTCTTTGGCCAGTATCAGACATGCCGATATCTTCAAACGAATCAGAGTATGTGATTTCGCATTTTGGATGCATTGTTCACATTTGCTTCATGTTTTGGTATGAAGGCAATACATATATATGACTGAATTAGATATTTGCGGTAGCGCGGGAACGGTAACGGTCACTTACGGCCTCGGAGGGCTTGTGCATGTTTTCCGGTACGTTTCGGAATCGGCACAAGCCCAGACCCATCGCTTATGTCATTTTGAGTCCTTCGCAGATAACGAAAACCTTAATGAGTATGTTTTCGAGCCCAACATCACATGGTCCAGGGCCCGCTTATGGATAAGCGTGTTTGTCAAACGACAATATCCTGTGCGGCCTCCAAACCTCACCGCTGGAGACGGCTGACAGAGATAGCGCGTCCAGCAAGCAAGCCGCTTCGTGCCTTGGCGAGTCATGCACGTAATTTGGTCACCGAGAAGCCTCATCGACTAATGCTGCTGCATGATGGTGCGTTTAGTTTACCATCCCTTTCCTAGGTCTTTGATCGATTTCACCCAATTTTCACACTTGTTTAACACCCAGGTACATCATTTTTGCTTGCACTGTAAGTTTGATGCAAACATGAGCCGACAGAGAGTGTACAAACGCGGCGCCACAGCTATCTATGGGAAATAGAGAAGCTCTCGTTTTTCTTTCCTCTACCCGTTCCTCATGAAATCTCCTGTTGCCCTTTTTAGCTGGTACAATTTGGTCCTGTTCACTCGGACTCCTCATCGTTGTCGCCAGGGAGCCATATCTCGTGTCCAGTTCCTTCTCGGACAAGGAAGCTGAGCCCGCATCCGCCCAAAGCAACCATGCACATCAGCCACCACGCTAATTCTGTCATGCCTCGCTCTGAACTGTAACCAAGGACGGCACCACCTAGCATAGGGCTAATTGACCGAGAAAAGGATGACAGTAAGACTGCCGCGCTATGCGTTCTCCCCAAGGCCGTAGGATGTGGCGATGCACTGGCTCCAAGTCAGTCAGAGCATTTTCTCTCGATATACCACGTACTTGTTCGTCAGCATTATTTGCGCAGGAAGTACAAACGTTCCTGAGACCACCGATAGTGCCTGTACTACAACAATAATTGCCCAGACTGTGGCGCGCGCTCCCCGTGCTGAGGGTGATGTTATAGACTGTAAGATAACCGTGAAAGGCGTCATAAAGTAGCATAGCGGAAAACCGAAAAGGAAGATGCGCCACAACTTCATGGTTCCGAACCTCTGGGACAATCGTGGGTAGCCAAACACTTGCACGGGTATGCCGACCAGTCCTAGCAGAGCCATTGAAAGGGCAACATCCCTGACCGGCATACCCAATCCTCCAGAAAACTGGAAGGGATTCTGCCCATTGTTTGTACGCCAGCCAATGGCCGGCAGACTGAGAAAACTCGGCCACAACGTGTTGTATGCTCCAATATGGCCCTCGAGAATGCCTTGGCAGACGATTGTGAGGCAGAGGTTCCGTGTGAACATGCGGCGGAGAGGCAGGATTGCAGGTTCGACATGCGCGTTGGTATCTTTCGGTTCGAGTGGCTCCAATAACATTTCACTCTCATCCTCGTAGAGATCTTCAAAAGGCACCTGCGAGTACTGAGCTTCCTTTTTGGTCGTACGGAACATCTTTGAAAGCATGTGTGCGATATGTAGCCCGTGATCATGCTTATTGCGGAGAGGCTTAAGTGTCTATCACTTCAGTTAGTGCGCCATGTTTGTTCCACACTTCGCAGTTTGTATACCTCTCTTAGCCTCAGAACCACCATGGCTAGCGCTACTAATAGAACAGCTCCGTTGAGCAGAGCAGGTTTAGCGAACGGATATCGGCTGAGCAACGGAGCATCTAGAGACGCTTTAATCTGGGAATCGGAGGAGTCCACCACCATACTAGCCAAAACAGGGCCAATTACGACGGCAACGTTGAATGCCATTGGCATCAACAAGAATGCCCGCTGTTTGTATCTTAATTTCCAGTTTGTCAGAGCTATCATAAATAGAGAAGTGCGGCTGCAAGCGGACGGTCAAGCTTACCGTTGATCTTGAACAATTTCAGACACCATCGTCCTGATCACAGCAACGTTTCCATTGACTGATCCCTCAATGGCACGCACAATCACGGCCTGGGTGAAGTTGCTTACGAACCCAAATGCGACGCAGCTCAACACTACAAAATCAGTCTGGATACCGCCATGCAAGCCAGGGGCCTTACTGGAGCCTAATAGTCCGATGATGAGAACTAATTTCCTGCCTCCTCTGGGTGAGTCTGCTACTCTCCCCCATATCAGAGCCGTAAAGCATTGGCAGATAGTGAATACAGTCTGCAGGATGGCTGCCTGTTCAACAATCTCTTTGGGTGTCAGAGCTGGGTCAAACGATTTTAATTGATAGTATATGTACGACTTCAAGAAATCATTAGCAGTCTTTAGTAACTGTCTGGATTTTTTGAAGGCTTACCACGATAGACGTGCGAACTAGAGGCTCACAGAACCGCGCAAAAATAAGCACCACGAGTTGGCCCTTATGTGGCAGAGACGCCCATGTGACTGGAGTTTCCATTATAGAAAGTAGCTCAGCATGTTATCAAAGTTGAAACCCAGGGCTTCTTGAACAAGAAAAAGAGACTAGGTGTGTGTTATGGGCGGTGGTTCGGAACGATGATGGTTCGATCCGCGACCGGCTATCTACCTTTTCGGCTCCCTCGCCTGGATTTTACGCGTCTAGCTTACATAAGGCGAGTAGCCATTGGATCGGTTCTGAAGTTCCCTGTTTTGAAAGAAGAAGAGGGCGCAGTATTGACTTCAATGCCAAGGGAATACTTCAACAATAGCCTGCCGCAGGCAGAATGGGGACTCAGGGGGATATCCCTCGTCAGAAGAGCTTCTGAAATACTGCGCCGGCGGGTAGCTCAGCGTAGCGTCGCCATGGCGCCACCAGAATCCGAGCAAGTCGTGCAAACAGGGCTGTTTTCGGGGTTTTGATCAACGCTTCTGATGTTATTTCTTAAAATATGCACACACGCTTATTTGAGCTGCTGCGATCTTCACATACATAGGATGATTCCTGCAAGGAGCTACCACCTTTGTAGACAGAAACAAGCGGGTACGGGCACAGCTTCGTCTTTTTCTCGATGTTTGCTGTGGTGATGCTTGCAGGAAGCTCATCAGGTATCACGCCTTCTTCGACCCATGCAACCAAAGCATCGAAAGCAGTTTTAGGGCTGGGCCCTGGTCCTCCTCCGCAGTGCCAAACTCCGGGTGCTTTGAAATATCTGTAAAAGTCTGGAGCCTTCGGGTCTAGCCGCAATACCCTTTCGTAATAGTCTGTTGTACCTTCAGGGATGGTCTGCGGATCTGCCATTCCATGCCATGTAATCATTTTCCCACCGGCTTCCCTGAAGCTCGATAGATCTGGATTATCGGTACTGATGATAGGTCCGTATGCTTCAGAAGAGTACCTGAAGATAGCCTCATAATCTGCGTACGTCATATTGGTAATATTGAAGTTTGGATCGCCTTTTTTCACCCAAAGACGAACCCATTCGCTTGCCATAAATACTGGTATGCCTCGACAGCCTTGTTCGCTGCAGTCTCCGACAAATTCTGAAAGCGGAGTGTCAAGACTGAGGCCATACCACAGGGACGACCCTTGGCTTGTTTGTGGTCCAAGCCAAGTTTTGTAAGCGATTGTTGCGGCTTCGTCCGAAATCACTGTGCTTGTGTTTCCACACGAAATCGGACGACCCACAACTTCCCGGGGATCAAACAGACAGTTTTCTGGGTAAGAGATAACACCATCCTTGACGCCATCCAGAGCATCACAAGCTTCAAGAGCAGCTGCTTTGATAGCGTCAAACTCGCATGGTGTTGGGTATACTCCGAGCTGATTCATGACAAAATGAGGCCAATACATAGCAACCATAAGCTTTGCCCAATTGACTGCGGGACTAGCCGCCATTATACCATCATATAGCTTTGGAAATCGTTGTGCAAGCATTAGCCCCTGCCGTCCACTAGTGGAGCAACCGTTCCAATAAGAAAACGTTGGTGCCTTTCCGTAAAGTTCTGTCGTTATGGTCTTGCCGATTGAAGTGCAATCCTCCAATACGGCTCCGGCATAATTGGTCAAGAGTTCGAAGTTGATGTTGCCTGGCCCAAGAAGTGCCCACGACTCGGAGCTTTTCGACGTCCTCCAATTCCCGCCATCGGTCGTCATGGCAGCATATCCTTTCTCGACGTTGACCATCATGTCCGAGTCGTTTGTTTTCATACGGTATCCACCGCCCCCTGTCGCAAGAAAGCGTCCATTCCAATTCTCCATTGGGAGGTATAGGTATACATGTATTGTATCGTTCGATCCTGGATGCGCGTATTGGGCGGTGACGTTGCAGAAGTTAAATTTATTACTGGCATTAACAACCGTGGCAGAGATAGAATCGAGGTAGCCACCGAGAGATGGAAGTGTAGTGACATTGCCGTGGCATTTTGCCAGAAGCCGAGTAGCCGTGCAAGCAGCCGCGAAACGTGTAGCCAACATAAGGTATCGCATTCTGGCGGCGTTGGCTTCACAAAGGAAGTCAAACCTCTTTTGATTTTATTTCAGGCGATTAATTGACAGCACTCGGCACAGGAGACCGAAGGTTTCCTTCGGACCGAATAGGCTTCCGATGCACTTTGGAACCGAAAGTTGACGTTACGATTAGGGTCTTCTATGAACGGTGAAGCTGAATTTAAAGCCTACCGCGACACTAATTATCTTCGTTCATGTCTTCCAGACGTCCCTCATTTAAGAGAGCCTCTCACTAGCTTGTGGTACAGATCATCATGAGAACGGAGGGTTGAAGATAGCGTGCCAGAGCATTTCCGAGGCTCGGATAATTACGGAAATCAGCTTGACATACATATGCCTTCGTATTGTAATCCACAGTCCTGCTACTGGATTCACTTCTCTAACATTTGCACTACATTCCATATTTACCATTATTCATAAATTATAGCCGTCTCCACAAGAGAAGCAAGTGATGCAAGAGGAGAAGAATAATCTTCTCGAAGGAATCGAGAAAAATGGAACGGAACTGGAAGATCCTGACCGTGGTAATTTTGCGAAAGTGGGATTTTATGCCCCTTCCCGCACCTGTTCCATCTGGTATTTCTGGCTATTTTGCATCAGCTGTGCGGTAGCCTCAATCCTGTCGCTCTACTTAGTGTATGGTGTTTTATTTGCGCCGAAAACGTTGCCACTGGGAGTTGATTCCACCGGATTCGTTCCTCCTGGTAAGGCGAGAAGACCTTGAACAGAGGAAGAAAGCTAAGAGCATGGCAGAGATTGGCGAGCCTTTACGTTGGATTATGTTCGACGAGAGTAACCCTTACTATATCAAGGAAGACGTATTCGATCATGTTGAGACCACAAAGGCGTTTGTGGTATATCTCAAAGCAACTCATAACTGTACGTAGTTGATTCCACTTGATCCATTCGTATATAGCTCATTCTGACATAGCTACTTTCCTGAGAGCCGAAGGCCATCACACCACATATGTTGATCCCGATGGTAATGTCGTTGAACTACCACCTCACATTCGCCCCTCGGGCCACGAGTTTTATGCAATAAGAGCGATACACGAAATGCATTGCATTGTAAGTTTCAGAGTCCTTCGTATGCAAATAAAGTGTTGAATAAATTGGCAGAATGTCTTGGTAGAGGCATATGGATTCGAGGTACACAATCAAGCCTCACAATGGGCACCTGGCCACGTTGCGCACTGTCTGAATACTCTGAGGGATGCTATCATGTGTTCTGCAAATGCTATGCCAGTGTCGTACCTGGCACCAGGTGGACATTTGACGGACCGACAGCAGATGCGATGCCGAGATTATTCGGCGTTTGAGGGATTGGGCAAATGAACCGTCTCGGGTGAGTGCGCTTTCGCAACGTTGCGCCTCCAGGATCCGAAAAGGACAAGATTGAGGAGATCATTTCGTTTGCTGGCGCCGGACCGTAGGTTTGCGAAGACCAATCTGGGGACGTTTAATCTCAGGGTAAGAATTGGAGTTCAGCTCTGGAGATGACGCGCCTGTATGTAGGTGCGGTGGCGCACGGATTCGCAAACCGAACACTACCTACCGTAAGGTAGAATGCGGAAACACCCACAGACTTCAAAGCGTCCGAACTCAACCAGTATGGCAGCTATCGACAAGAAAATAGCAGAAATCAAACTGCGAGGGCTTGGAGACACGATCTTGTACCAGGAGCATGCTGATAAACTCCATGGATTAAGAAGTGCGTTGAGCCGGAGACACCGAGGTACCTCACGCTCCTGAGCCGACTACACAGCCGACAAACAATTCGTACGGTACACAACTAAGCCTACCAAGCAAAATCTACCTCCTTTAAGCGATATGATCAGGAAATTTTCCCAACAGAAATAGCATATCAGCAGTCTCTAATTGATTGAAAATATATATTGCAAAGTCTGACTAGCACACCGGAATTTGCGTGTGCGCGCGCACACATGTTTGCTAGACTGGCAGACATTTCAAGGGCAAAAACTAGTGCTGTAGAGTAAACCCACATATGCTAACAGTATGTGACGGTTCGAAGTGACCATTAAACTCCTTGGGTTCTCGTTTTTCCGATGCACCTAACAAGTACCTTGGAACCGTAACCGCCCATCACCCGTAAGCGAGAAATGCGAGATGGATACGACTTCAATCAAAACCAATCCTCACCACATCCACTTTGTGGCTTCTACCGTATGCAATTTCATCATTTCGAATCTTCTCTATTCCCCAGAATCTTGCTATGATCGAAATACCATGGTGGTGATCGCAACGACAGCCATGTCGCGCGCCGGGCTAACAACCACATTACCTCATCCTCACTCTGCCTTGATCACGACTAACCCTATTACCCACAAATTACAACTACTAAGACTTTAGATACAACAAATTTGCACATCGTGCGTGATCTTCAAGACGCTTGAGCGAGGAGAACATGTACTCCAAGTTTACCTCTGAGTCAAATTGACCACTGAAAGCTGTAGATGGTAACTCAGCTACATCGTTTGTGTAGGCTTGATTAAACCTAGTATATTGGACGAAAATATACTCCGTTCTAGAAGATCTATTAAGATACATGCTGATACCGGAAGTGCTCGGATCTTGCATGGACGTTTGTCTATCTGCTTTTCGAGAAATATACTCGAGAAGCAGTGCTCATGGTCGAAAGAACATTTCTTTTATCCCACCTTGCACATTTCCAGTGCGTCGCGAATAGAAGAAGTGATAGATGGCACCTAAAACGTCAGTATCTTTACAATCAAGACAACAGGAGGTGATTTTTCTCACGTTAGGTGTGTCAAAAATACTGTAATGATCCCCGCAGGTTTCCAAGACCTTAACGACAAAGCCATCGTAAGCATCTTCCCAGCCCAAGTGGGGCATGTCTCGGGTCTTGTCTAGCAAGCACATTTCGTTTGGATCTACCATCGGAACAAGAGACTTAGCACGGATCAACACGACCGGTGGCGGTGTTGGAACATTCTTCCCGTGAACCCCGACATCGGTCGTTTTCCAGGCTGGTGGTTGCCACTCATCGCACAAACAAGTAGCCCGTATCAAAGACGTGAGAACCTTCTCCTTAACTTCTTGGGTAATTCCGACCATTGCAGGTCCTTGGGTATCCATATCGAGTGCGCGTTTTGGGGTTCTAGAATAGATTGAATCCACCAAGATGACTCCGGAAACGCGAAGCCCTTTATTCTCCGTGGCTAATATGTGCGCAATCTGTACAGCAAGAATACCGCCGAAGGACCAACCTGTGGCTGATTTTAGCTAGTTCCCCTTATGCAGCCTCGAAAGAGATGCTGTCTTTATTACCTCCAAGCACAATGTTTCCCCTGAGCATGACCTTCTTGATCAGTCGAATATACATTCGCGCCATTTCTACCACGCTCTGCCACCCGCCTCCACCCGCCTGTTCGAAACGAGGATCATATATTCCATAGACCTGGCGGTCTAGCGGTCCGAGAGAATAATAGCTGAAAATAGTGCCACTCGCATCGTGAATCAAGAACAGCGGTGGTTGTACAGAAGGTGATCGTGGGACATTTTGTATGAGGACTGGATTTGAGGCATGCATTCTGATCTCAACCTTGAAATTTAAAGTCAGATCGTTACTGGCTGCGGTTTTTGATATGATGCTAGTTGGGTTCTTTATCTAGTTATTGAGACGAAACGGAAAGACTGGAGGACATGGCGCAATGCATTCTATGAATCAGTACATCGCCGGCGTTTTCCGAGTAGCCGAGTTGAAATAGCATCCTATCGGTCTGGGTGCCTCATGTGATAGATCCAAACTCAACCTCTACTAGTCTGCAGCTGTACCGTAGCCGATGGATGTTAGCGAGGGAGAACTTAGGCCCACATTCGCTCGGACAGATTACCGGTTTGCCGGTAGGCATCGGACCGTGGCTAAGCGTCCCTTGACTGTTACCTCATCCCATTAGGATTGATGGAAACTTGCTTAGAATCATATGCTTTAGCAATTGACGATCTGAAATACGTTTCCTTTACAATCATGACATCGATAAGCGCGGAAGTAATGCATGAGGACTTTGGTAACGAGAACATCAATGCAACAGCACAGAAGATTCGAAGACATTGTGCTGAGGTGCTATCGAATTCTCTAGAGCATATCAACCTCGGATTGTCTTTTGCAGCTCTCGGGGGTACGCGCATTGTTATCCCTCCTCGTCAGCTCATTGCAGATATTAACATGTTCTAAGGAGACTCGTTTAGAGCGGTGCAGCTGCATCGCCAATGTACTGGAGAGGGAATATATGTCTCACTCCGCGATATTCTCTTGAAGAAAACTCTTGCTCAAATTGCCGCTGCAGCATGTGAAAGACATGCAGACGCCAGGTCAAGTCCTCTCCCAGCAGGTTCGAGATCAGAAGGCCATCCCGAATTCCCACGCATGCCTTATGAATATGAGTTAAGCGCCATTCGAGGAGAGCTCGAAGCCCGGACCAATGCGTCATCAGGGTCAGGCCTTGATCTCGTCGAGGATATTTATCCATGCAGCCACATGCAGGAAGCCATGTTCATAGGACAGAAGACGCGAACGACAAAGCTTTATCGAACTATAGGGTTATTTGAGGTGCGAACTGCCGCCAATCCAGAGGCAGTGGAACAATGCTGGCAGCAAGTCGTAAATCGACATCAAACCTTGCGAACCATTTACGTCCCTGCAGTAAAAGAAACCGGCCGCTTGCTAGATGCAGTTGTACTAAAAACGGTGAGAGCCGACGTCTCTCATGAGCGGTGCGAAGACAGGACAGAAGTACAAGAGAGATTCCTATCCAGATGCAGATCTGAGTCCCAATTTGTGGATGGCATATTGCACCAAGCATCCATCTGCTTAACGGACGATGGCCAGATCTTCTGCATCCTTGATCTAAGCCACATGATCACCGATGGATCGTCATGGGTTCTCTTGATTGAGGACTTCTCTAGAGCTTTACGCGGGATGGAATGCCCAGGCGTCGCGCCAGGATACGATCGATACCTCGACTATATGCAACTTGATTCCGACGTAGATGCAGCACTTGACTATTGGATCGACTTTCTGGAAGGAGTTGAGCCGTGCAAATTTCCCGTTCTTAATGACAGAACTGGAGCAAAGACCGATATTGGCGAACTCCTTGAAATCCCGTTCCCCGAATTTGGTGAGCTTCGGCGTTTCTGCAAGCAGAATGAGACCACACTTTCTGCGGTATTGCAGACGGCATGGGCCTTGCTTCTTCGAAACTACACTGGCAACCCAGATGTCTGCTTTGGGTATCTCTCTTCTGGGCGAAGCCTTCCCATCCGCGGAGTAGAAGAAATTGTTGGACCACTGATCAATTTGCTTGTCTGCAAAGCAAATGGTATGGATCGTCGATCCGCGAGAAATGTCTTGGAAGGAATTCACGGAGACTTCGTCAATGCCCTTCCCTATCAGTGCATCTCATTGTTGCAGGTACAACGGATCCTTGGGACGAGCGATTCTTTTTTGTTCAATACATTATTGACGGTGCACTATGCTCCCACCATGGTCGACGGAAACACCGAGCTCGCACTCCTGGCCTCCCACAACGAAACCGAATTTGACATTGTGGTCAAAGTACTCTATTCGGACGACCAAATGCGCGTCCGGCTAAGCTATCGCCCAGCCATCTTGTCGCGTTCAATGGCAAAGCGTGTTGCGAACACGTTCTCGACTGCGATTAGCACGTTGATGCATCTCGAAGACATGGACCAGTCGTTGGGCACACTCGACTGTCTTAGCCCTGGCGACTGGGAACAGATTAATGTCTGGAATCTACAGACATTATCTAGTGGGGCGCTTTCGCATCCCGCAACGATCCACTCGCTGATAGAGCATACGGCAAAATGCCAGCCTAGTGCCCTGGCCGTGGATGCTTGGGATGGTACACTGAGCTTCGGAAGACTGGAGGAGCTGGCAGAATTGCTGGCGCATGAAATTATGCGGCTAGGTATTGGGCCTGGGGTAATCATACCCCTTTCCTTCGAGAAGTCTGCATGGTACACAGTTGCTCTTTTAGCCGTCCTGAAGAGCGGCAATGCTTTTGTTCCCCTGGATCGCTCCAATCCCGCAAATCGTCTCCGCCAAATACTCGACCAACTAGACATTGACGTTGGTTCGGGTCTGATCATCGCTTCCCCCGAGCACGTGGCGACATTCGTACCTCTCTGCAAACATGTTATCACTTTGGAACCTGACTTCTTTACGAATAAGACGATTAAACCAGGGAAACATTTACCAGGTGTTCAACCTAATGACAAGGCTTACGTTATATTCACATCAGGGTCGACCGGAGTACCAAAAGGCGTTGTGATTGAGCATGGTGCGTATTCTTATGCAGCCCAGACACATAGGGACGGACTGCACGTAGACAAATCGTCCAGAATTTTGCAGTTTGCATCTTATGGGTTTGATACAAGCATGGAAGACCATCTAACAACGCTCATCGTGGGAGGATGCATATGCGTTCCGTCCGAGGAGGAGCGTCTGTCGGATCTGGTAGGATATGCGAATCGTACCAGGGTGAACTGGGCCCACCTTACGCCTTCTGTGGCCAGCATTTTCAATGCAGAAGAGACTCCGCTACTGAAAACTATGGCCTTGGGGGGTGAAGCTATGACACTACGCAACGTGCAAGAGTGGGCGGGAAAGCCGGACAAGCATCTGATCCAAGTTTATGGCCCTTCTGAATGCTGTGTGACCAGCACCATCAGCGAGGATGTGTCTTTGAAGATGGATCCAACCAACATCGGCCGCGCATTTGGTGGATGCGCTTCTTGGGTCGTCCGTATCGACACCCCTCACGCTCTCGCACCGATCGGCGCTGTTGGCGAGCTGCTCATGGAAGGCCCAATCCTGGCAAAAGAGTACCTGAAAGACCCACAGAAAACGGCATCAAGTTTTGTAAGCGGCTTGTCGTGGGCACCGCACAAGCGACTATATCGGACTGGTGACCTGGTGTACTACGATTCTGAGGGAGATCTCCACTTCCTTGGTCGCGTAGATGCACAGGTAAAGGTTCACGGCCAGAGGATCGAGCCAGGCGAGATCGAGAAAAACTTGGCCTTGGAGGGATCAGTACTGCACAGTATAGTCTTGGTGCCAGAATCGGGGCCATGTGCGGGCATGTTGGTTGCTGCCATTGCACATCAACGCCCGTCAATCCAGGACGTGTGCGACAAGGTGATCTTTGAAAAACCGGAAACAGCATACATCTCGACCCTGCGCAACTTTCTTCTCGACCTTGTCCCACAATATATGATCCCGGCCATATGGCTTGTCGTACGTGACATGCCCTACAATACGTCAGGGAAGCTGGACCGGAAGCGTATGCTCAAGCGTTTTGAAGAGATGGACAATGAAGAATATGGAGACTTAATTGGCAGTATTGAAAAATGCAGTGTTGAACTACCAATCAATGACCTCGAAATAGCCCTTGAAGAAGTATGGAGTACTGTGCTCAATGTTCCCAAAGCGGACATTGGCAGAAGCAATACCTTATTTTCACTCGGTAAGCCTCTCGGTACTTGCTCTCTTCCAATGATTCCTGTGACTGAAAGACATCCTACTCAGGTGGAGACTCCATATCGGCCATGACCATCAGCAGTGCAGCCCGTGGTAGGGGCATCGCGGTGTCAGCAGCCAAGATACTCCGCTATCAAACCATCGGGCGCCTCGTCGAGAATCTCGATACGCATCCCGAGCAGGCTCCATCTGTCGACTACGGAAGAACCCAGACCGAGGTTGCATGGCCACTTTCACCTATCCAGCAGCTGCATTTTCAGGCTTCACCTAACGGAGATCGCTTTGATCAACAGACAATGGTCTTGGTCATGACGCGGCATGTTCCAGATAGCCTTGTTCGCGACGCTTTCGAAAGCATTTTAGAGGTGCATCCCATGCTGCGGGCTCGCTTCACTTCAACCTCCAGCGGATGGGTACAGCAAGTCACAGAAGATGTTTCCGGAAGCTTGACGCTGCGTTTCCATCACGTAGACTACAGCCAGGAAGATGTTATGCAGCAAATTGCCACCACTAAGTCTTGTATCGATCTAGTCAGCGGACCACTCGTCGGCGTCGATGTCTTTGGAAGGGGCGAGAAAAGGCTCATTTCTGTCACAGTTCACCATTTGGCAATAGATGCAGTTTCGTGGCGGATCATTCTGGAAGATATTGAAGCTCTAATCGCCCGAGGAGCCCCTGCACGGCCCGAGCCCGTTCATTTCCAAGCTTGGGGCCGCGCTCAATTAGAACAGGCCAGAACATGCCTCGATTCTTCTCACGTACTTCCAGCTGGTCTGGTAGTAGAGAGCATAGGTTCGTCTTTCTGGGGGATGGAGGGGCGGCCGATATTGTTCCAGGACTCCGTGTCGAAGAAGGCTCAACTGGACAAAGTTTCGACTCAAGCATTCGGAGCATGCAATCGCCACGGCTACGATCAAGTAGATTTGCTTTCAGCAGCAGTACTGCTCTCTTTCTTGAAAATTTTCGGTCGACCTTCGGCTTCATTGTTCGTCGAGGGGCATGGACGCGAGCCGTTTCATGCTGGGCTAGATCTATCTCGGACGGTTGGCTGGTTCACAACGTTGGCACCTCTCACGATTGAAGAGACGCTAGATACACCAGCAGCACTCCGTCAAATCAGGGAGCTCAGGAGAGCCACACCAGGCAAAGGCTGGGACTATTTCACGTCACGGTTCCTCAACGAGAACGGAGTTGAGGCTTTCCAGCAGCGACATTGGCCTATGGAGATCATTCTGAACTATCTAGGCCGCTATCAGCAGCTTGAAAGACACGATGCGCTCTTTCGACGCTGTGAACCGGCCTTGCAATCAATGCTTTCGGAGCTGCGCCTACAGCAACGTGCTGAGTCACAACGGTACAGCCTCATAACCATACTGGCTGCAATAGAGGATGGTACTCTCACTTTTACAGTGGAATGGAACAAGCATATGAACCACCAGAAAGAGCTAGACTCATGGCCAGCGATGATAGAGAAGGAACTTGAGCGCTTGCTCGTAACTTTGGATGCGCAAGGAACGAAGCCGCCAGTAGAATCAATCGCATCTGCCACCACGATTGGAATCGATCATGAAGAACTGGGCAGCCTGCTGAAGGCCATTCCGCCTAGCCCTGACATAGTCTTGCACAATGTCGAGGCCGCGTACCCATGCTCTCCCATTCAGGAGAGCCTACTTTTTAGCCAGTTGAAGAACGCCAACACATACAATCAGCATTTCCTCTTTCGCCTCGTGCCGGGTTATGATGACCCTACTGAGGGACGCCATGAGCGCTTAGCAGAGGCTTGGAAGCGGGTTGTAAAGAAGCATGCAATTCTGCGGACTGTGTTTGCCGAAGTCTCTTCGGGTGGTTTCGCGCAGATTGTGCTCCGAAATATCACGCCTTCAATCGAGTGTATTCGTAGCGAGAGCAAAGATGCAGTGGTGAGAGCATGGGAGCAAGACCGGTTGATGCTAGGGTGCCTCCCGCTGGGCGGAAAGCTGCTCCACTCTCTCAAGATTCACACTGTCGTCGATGGCACGATTTTCTGCCAGCTTGACAAAAACCATCTCCTCAGCGATGGAGCAAGTTCCCGCATCATGATTCAAGATCTGCTCGACGCCTATAGCGATCGACTAGAAGGCTCTTCCGCATCATTCATGGACTACATCAAACACATCAATGAGGCCGACTCGGAAGAAGTCGAGAAATATTGGTCTTCATACCTTGATGGGGCTACGAGATGTCACTTTCCGCGGCTAGCTCAACTGGCAGAAAAGGACGATCAGGCTATGCCAATGAAGAGTGTAGAGCTAGTTATTGACAACAAGAAAGCTCTCGATCTGAAGTGTCGCAAGTTCGGTATAAGCAATAGCAGTGTATTGCGCGCGGCTTGGGCACTGGTATTGAAGGCGTACCTCAATTCGGAAACAGTCGTATTTGGGTTCCTTGCTTCCGGTAGAGACTTGCCCGTGCCGGGGATAGAGAAGATTGTCGGGCCCATGGTCAACATGCTTCCCGTCCGACTACTAGTATCAGGCGGAAGCAGTATGGTCGAGCTTGCACGGGCGATTCAGGACGACTACCTGGAACATCTTTCTCGGCAAACAGTATCCTTGGGGCGAATGCAGCATGCCATTGGGGGCAGCGACGGTCTCTTCAACACCATTGTTAACATCCAGAAATCTCCGCTAGCGCAGCGGCCGACAGATGCGGAGGTTAGGGATACCACGGCAGAGCTAGTGAAGAGCCACGATACTAGCGAATATGGGATAGCAGTGACCATAACCGATGAGCAAGACAGGTATATCGTATCGGCAGAATTTGCAACCAGCTTGTTGTCGACACAGCAGGCCGGCCATGTCATAGCTGCCTTTGCCAAGGCCGTAGAATTCATGGTGCAGGAGCCAGAGAAGCCGATATCTGAGGCCAGCCTATTCAGTAAGCTGGACGAACAGCAAGTGGAGGCATGGAATGTAAAGGAGCCGTGCCTGGTCCGGCGCTGCATCCATGAGCTGATCCAAGAAACCGTTCAGCGACAGCCAGCAAGCATTGCTGTCCACTCTTGGGACGGCGAAATGACATATGAGCGGTTGGACAGGTTGTCCTCGGCAGTGGCATGCAAGCTGGCATCGAGCGGTGTGCAACCCGAAGACATTGTGACGCTCTGTTTCGAGAAGTCCATGTGGGCGGTTGTGGCCATGTTAGGTGTGGCCAAATCAGGAGGTGAGTGGGGCGCGGGCCGACTGCTCCCGAGAGTGCTGACTAAGTTGTGCAGGCGTATTCGTACATATTGACCCCAAGGCACCGCGGGCGCGCGCACAAGCCATCGTTGATCAAACCCAGTGCAAGATAGCGCTTGCGTCACCCAGCTGCCACGCATGCCTTGATGGCCTAGTCGAGGACATACTACTGCTGAGCGGCCATGTTGCTGAAGAATGGAGTGGGCTGGAGGTGAGCAGCCTTGTGAAGGTCCAACAGAAGCCGGCCAACGCTCTCTACATCGTTTTTACTTCCGGAAGCACGGGAACACCGAAGGGAGTAGTGATTGAACACCAGAATTTCTGCTCAGCAGTAGCAGCCAACCGGGAGTGGCTACGGATAGAAAGAACATCGCGGGTGCTGCAATTCACCAGCTACAGCTTCGATGCTTCGCTCGAGGAGATATTCACAGTGCTGGTGGCAGGAGGATGTATTTGCGTACCGTCGGAGCAGGACCGCCTGTCGGATCTAGCTAGCTTCGTGCGGCGCGCTGCCATCAACTGGGCCGCCTTCACGCCTTCGTTCCTGCGGTCACTTGAGCCACGCGACGTGCCCTCGCTCGATTTCATTACGGTGCATGCCGAACCCATGAGCCAGATGCTTGTGACCAGGTGGGCAGGCCAAGTGCATATGCGACCCAGCTATGGACCTACCGAATGTTCCGTTACGAGTACCGTTGGCGAGCGCATGACAGCCCACTCTGACGCTGCCAATATCGGCTGGGCCGTCGGTTGTCGCGCCTGGGTTGTTGACCCTATGCGCCTCGATGTACTGGTTCCTGTAGGTGCTGTTGGCGAGTTGGTGTTAGAAGGTGCCATCGTCGGCCGCGGCTATCTTCGCGACCCGCAGAAGACTGCCGCCGCGTTCGTCACGTTGTCCCCGGGCGGTCAGAAACCACGGCGCGCCTACCGCACTGGTGATCTCGTGCGCTATGCTGTCGATGGAAGTCTTGTTATTTTGGGCCGCCGGGAGGACTCGCAGGTCAAGGTGCGTGGCCAGCGCGTTGAGCTGGCCGAAATCCAGTATCGTCTTGATCTCGCCCCGGAACTCGCCCATTCCCTTGTGCTGCTCCCCAAAGCAGGTCCACTACAGGGCAGATTGACCGTGGTTGCCAGTCTGAGTGAACAGATTGACCCAAGCCCCTCCTCACTCCAGCTCATCCACTTGTCACCGGGCTGGACGTCAGAGCAAGCGGCCCACGCATCCGATGCACTTGCAGCCGTCCAAAAAGCACTCTCCAGCAACCTCCCCGCGTACATGGTACCCGATACATGGCTTCTAGTCGGGAGCCTCCCCTTGCAGGTCTCGTGCAAGATTGATCGCAAGCTCGTTGCTACATGGGTTGAAACCTTGGACTCTGAGGTAGCACTTGCCGCTCGCCGACTACGAAAGGCAACTCATACGTCAGGCTCTAAAGTTGAGGAGGCTATACGACGCGTCTGGACAGAAGTACTGGCTGTAGACGATGCCGAGGCCGACCTTCTCGATTTGGATGATTCGTTCTTTGCCATGGGGGGCGATTCCATTTCCGCCATGCGTGTGACTCGCCAATGCCGAGCGATGGGACTTACCATCACGACGCAGAATGTGCTTGTAGAAAAAACTATCAGAAAGCTGGCTGCCGTAGCTGCATCTGGCGTGGTGATTACCACGCCAGCGCCTTGCAAAGAGCTATGGCCAAGCGTGCGACAAGAGATTGACCCAGCTGTGCTCCTCCCCCTCGACTCGCACATCGCCGACATCCTGCCCTGTTCTCAATTCCAGGAATACACATATCGCGCTTTTCACAAAGAGCACACGACGCCATATCTGTATCATACCCTAGTAGAATTAACGTCGGATGCTGGCTTGGACGCTGCCACTGCCGCGAGAGCTTGGCAAGCTGTCGTGAATCGCCACTCCATCCTTCGAACTGCATTCGTATCGGCCCAGGATGATGACAAAATATTCCAGGTAGTGTTGCACGATATACCAGTCGACTGTATTGTCACTGCTGTCGATGATGAGATCTCTGTAGGCGAAGTTGCTAATTTGGAAATGGTCGCCATCCGATCTAAGTTCCTTGCGTCTGTAGTACCGCCATTGGCACTACGATTGTTTGTCCTGCGTTCCGGGCGTGTATTCGGTCTCCTTGCTATCGGACACATGATCATCGACCATGTCAGTCTGGCACACGTCTTATCCGACTGGGATCACTTTTGTCACAGCTCGAACCCTTCACACGAGCTGCATCTCCCGTCGCCCTTCCGCTCTTACATCCAGCATCTCTCGAGCCGCAACTTAGGCTCCAGCACGAATTTCTGGGAGGAACGACTGCGCCATCTTCTGCCTTGTCAAGTCTCCGATTGGAATTCAGGTTCCGCTGGTGATCCACACGCCACGAGCACTGTCAGCTTCTTTATCGAGACGGCAGGCGCTATGCAGAGCTTTTGTAGGACTGCAGGCATTACCATTTCCAATCTTCTACAGTTTTCATGGGCTCTAGTCCTCCGCCTTCACACAGGACAAGACAACATCTGTTTTGGACATCTGGTCTCTGACCGTGACATTGATACTATAGACGGCGACGACGTAGTCGGCCCATTGCTATCATTAGTGGTCGGACAGGTGACTATCTCTGAGTCCTTGGTCGAGTCCATGCTCGAACTGCAAAACAACAACATCAGAGCTTCCGAGCACAAAGTATTTGACATTGCCGAAGTCGGGCGTCGTTTGGGATGGTCCGCCAGAGGTTTCCAATCCGCTTTCAACACGCTTGTCAACTACCGCAAGATCGTTCGTCGCAATGAAGAACAGCCGAGGATGCGCTTCCGACGTATTCACAGTCACGATCCGCACGAAGTAAGTCTCTTAATTGTTTTCCAAAGTTCTGCTCTGACTTTTATGGCTTGGGGTACGCGTGTTGTTAAGAAGACTGAATCGCTAACCAAAGATTCAAAGCAACCTATTGTCCTCAGCTTCAACGACATAGGCTCCCAGCTGAGTGCCAGCCTTGCGTATCGTGAATCTGTATTGTCTCCGAAGAAGGCAGACGAATTTGTCGCCACGTTTTCTCGGATATTGGCCTCTTTGTGTACAGGCACATGTCACACCATGGCCGATCTAATGCGCGCCGTTGAACAGGACGATGGGGCTTGACGAAGTGCTCTAAATAACAAAGGCAATCTTCGTAAAGTGCTGATCAAGGAATTGGCAATAAGATATTGACAGCTCACATCGGATGTTGGAGCACTCCAGTCGAAGTGCTGACTGAGACTTCACATATGTACATAAAGCATCAAACTCTATTAGCTTTTGTGTTTTAGAACTGATCCCATGTAAGCGATACGAGCTCAACAAGATGCGCAGTATCGCTTGACTTGAAACAACCGGGTCATCGAAGTCGTGCTTCATGAAAGCTCGCAGTGTCTTACGAGGCCCACATGGTGTCTTAAGAACCGACCAATATGATACTATTGCGTAAATATTCTCTATATGTTTCAGAATTCTAATGTAGCTGTGATTTGAAGGTTGCAGGGAGTGTAGAGTGTCCACGCTAGTAGTAGTCGCTCATCAGGATTCAACATAGAACGCCTGCGTACGCCCCACCGTCACTCCGGAAAGCAGTCACCTATTCAATACATACAGCATGACGACGACAACTATGACAGCGACCACGAGTTTAGCAAGGTAATTGAGGACTAAATCTCAACATTGCAACGTTAGAGCGACTGGTTCTGGTACTTCAATTCACTGTCGTCGGCAGGCAAGTTCTGGTGTTCCGAGCGGCACCAGAGCTCGGATATTCCGACGAATGAGCTCAGGCACGGCATCCAACCAGAACATCCGAGGAAAGAAATTCCGCTGTTTCCCCTGGGTTCTTGTTTTTAAATTCTGCGCTGTAAATAGTGAATTAGTCTGGCCTTAATCCGTACATGTTTTGTAGTGTACGATCCAGAGCCCTTCTGAGATTTCTTTTTCTGCGCTTCAACCATGCTCGGATATAGCTTCTTCGTTCAGCTCAATGAGAGAGAGATTCAGCATCGCCGGGATCTCTTAGATCTGTACTCAAGAATTGCTCAATTGTCCTCGCTCGTTGTCTTTTTTTCTTCTCCACTCTATTCCTTAGCGAAACGGGGTTTCAGTAGAGTTCTGGCCATTTACCACCCGGAAAGCGAAACAAGCTTTTCTGTGAGATTTCGCTTAATTCGCTGGTGGCTGGATCACCGTTGCTTTGCAAACGCAGTCACACGAGGTGGACTTGTATTTGCCATATTCTGGTCGGCCTGGCTATTGTTTCTGTGCACTCATAGGACTGGAAATGGTACGTAATTAGGCCACATTGAATGATTGGATGTCCCTTAATCACCGTATAAATTGTCTACTAATGCGACGAAAGACTTCTTACATCTTACGAAGCGACTTGGAGCGGTTGGTGCATCTCAACTTCCGCTCCAATACGCCCTTGGGAGGCAATCCATACACTGGTGTCTGACTACTGTCATGCAAATACCACATGCCCGTCCAATAGGCTTACACAAGCTGCTTGGCATGATCATTTTCATCTTGTTATCCTTGCATTCTAGCTTATACGCTTGCTATTTCCTACGGACTGATCTACTGCCAACCCCGCATAAGGGATGTCGATGTCATCAGTGGGCATGAGCAGTCATTTTCTTTTCTCTATCCTAACTGTCTCAACTTTGCGTGTGGTGTCAGGGTGGAACTACCGTGTCTTTTACACCATACATGTACTAGTCAGTTCCTCAGTTGTTCTCGTACTCTTCTTTCACACCAAACACGTTCGAACAATTCTTCTCCAGATCTTTCTCATTCGATTTGTGGATGAGTTGCTTCGACGTCACAATACCCGAACATTTTGCGCATCTGTAGCGCCTGTCCCCAACACAAACCTTGTTCAAATCAGCATGCCATTGATACAGTGGGAAGAGACTTGGGCCTTCGGACTTGGTGAGCACGTTGTAATCAGTCGACCTCCTCTCGGCGCGTCGGTCAGCTGGAACAGCGCCCTCAACGCCCGATACCGCACAAGCCCCTTCACCATCGCCTCGCTCCCAGAGAGAGATAGAAGGCTGGTTCTCATTTCACGCACCCGGCGCGGCAATACGAAGCGACTTTCGGATATCGCACGGCTACTGTTATTGGATGCTGACACTCGAGTCCCCCCGTACATTCCACTGACCGCCGAAGGGCCATACCCGGGTGATCTAGCTACAGCAGATCTTCGAAAGTTCTCGCGCGTGCTTATCGTAGCCGGTGGCGTAGGTGCAACCTTTGGATTTCCGATTTTCCGAAGCATGTCGTACGATAGTGTGAATGGGCGCGCCGTGGGCGGTAAAATTCAGCGCCTACAGTTCGTGTGGGCGGTCAGGGAGCCTGCCGAGGCGGCATGGGCATTCTCAGAAGAATTCATGGAGTCGGAAAGGCGAAGGGTGTGGGAAACAGGGCACAAGGTTGAGTTGTACATCACTGGTCGTGCTCGTGGAGATGGTGAAGGGGCGGATGCAGATGCAGCACTCCTAGGTGACATCGAGCTTGCGGAAGAAGGGGAACCGATATGGGATGAGGATCTGTTACGTAGTTATGGCGACACAAGTGTAGTTAGGCATGGTCGCCCCTGTCTGAAAGAGATCGTCAGGGAACAGCTTTCGAGCAACTCGGATGACAGTCTAGCACTGCTAGTATGCGGCCCCACGGGGATGGTTTCGGAGTTGAGGCATCAGGCTGGAAATTGGAAAAACAGAGGGCGACACGTGTACTGGCATGCTGAGCAGTTTTCAAACTAATATTTATGGCGGTCGATCCCAGAAATCTATGGCTTTTCTTTCTGCTGTATAGACTCAGATAGGCGCAGTTGTTACATCCAGTCTCCAGCGCCTTGTCCCATGAAAAACGCATGGTCCAAAAGAGAACGGCATTGTACCTGCATCTAATTGAGACACTCATGGTAGAAGCTTAGCCATCCCGCGCTTAATAACACTTGAGAAAGCCTTCCATGGAAAACTGCCAGAATTTGCACATCCAGAGGCCGTCAGTCTCCGGGGTTTCCGCTGGATGAATAGATTTGTTCAGGTAAAAATTGAGTTTGAAATGGTCGTTGCATCTTGACCAGGGTAATTAACTCGATAGCACGCAATCCGAAGTAATTAAACGCTAAAAACAAATATACAGCCACTGTTCGATGAGCATATTTTGAATGAGTGAAACAGCTGACTTCTCATAGGTCTCAATTGCGAGCAGGAGTTGAAATAAATCATTCTACGCTTTTTATTAAGGCTAGATAGTGTTCTGCCATATTGCGCTAATTTGCATCCGGAATGAGAATGCCTGCCCGATCATGAGTGTTGGTAGGCACGTCGGTTGTCCAACGAAGCCCAACCGCAGACTCGACCCGGCTTCGGCCCTGTCTAGCTACTTTCGTTTCCACCACACCCATCCTCTCTCTCTATGCGTCCGTATTTTCCGCTCCCACCATGTCCACTTTGAATGAATTGGGATGAGAAAGGTTCATGGGTCGCTCGTCTCGCTACTCATTTCCATGACAAGCACCCCCTCCCTTCCTCATCGCATGGATAGTATGGTTTAATCTGCTTCTTTGTCAACACAATGGCGGAATTAACGTGCATTTTCAATCCACTTACAATCTCCGGGTGTTCTGGAAATGGAACAACTTTGATGATCGGCTCGTCCATATCCTTTGGGGGGCTCTCATAGATGGCGTCTATTAAGCTCTGCGAACAGTGCGTGATGTGTGTGTAATTAAAAGGCGGATCCTGCCCGCGAGCCATGAAGAGGTAGGCCTGCCGGAGGGAAAATTGACAGTGGTGAAGGTGCTCCCTCTTGGTTAACCAAAATCTCGTCGACAGCATTGTTTCATCAGGGCTCATCACTTGAGTTCCTTCGGCATCTGCAAAGCGGTGCCATGGCCCGAGCTGCTCAAACTCTCGTATCAGAGCCTGGTTTTCTTCGTCAAATCGATTTTTCGGGAGCCAGTGGAACGACATCCAGTCGTACTCACAGCCGCGCTGACGAGCCACGGAAGGATGCGTTCCAGATGGTGCGCACAAATATCCAGATGTGTCGAGGTCTGATTGACAGTGTGTGTGTTGTGGCGTGATAGCTAGTGCTGAGGCAAGAGCCGTGATTACAACAATGCTGAGTGCCAACGTGTAGTTCTTCCAACTTTCCTTGAGGTGATCCGACCATTTGGATTGATCTGACCATTTGATTTCATGGTGGTCCATAAAACGAACTTTGTGAGGCAACACTGGGCGTTCATGGTCGTCAAGAGACTGGTTTAGCCGTACATACGAACCTGTAGGCATCTTCGGCATCGATAGAATAAGGTCTGATGTTTTCCCACTTAGAGAAACAGACGACACTTTTAGAACTTCCGCATTCTGTTTCGGCTCTAGCGCAGGATCCGAGTGCGGCTATGGAGGCCGGATCTGTTTCTTAGATCCCCAAGTCTCGGTCCGAAGATATCCACGGATGGCTTTCCATACTAGCCCTCGCTTTTTATTTATTGGTCGGCAATAGAATTGGGTACTGCTGAGTTTCCTATACCACATGGCACAAATTCGAAGAATACGAGAGCGACAGCGAGCATGGGCAACCCGGGGGTGAAGAAAGATCTCTCCTGCCGAGACATCGACAGAATGCTCGATCGTGGAAGCTGTTGCCCATACTAGCTTATTGGAGTATTGTCATCACCCTTCTTATGACGACGACGATTTCTCTGGGTAATGTTAGCACGAGCCCAGCGTCGGGTAGTATGTGAAGCGCGTGCAATATCGGTCACAGGAGACCGTACCTACAGCCCTTTTGTTCCTGACAGTATGCCTCCGACAGCCCATGGGACAAGGAAAGAACAGACCGGGTAAACCACTGACGCCAAACAGGTGTATTGGAAGCGCCTGAGACCCTCAACTATGGGTATTATATCCAAGAGCCCTTGCCTTCCGACACTTTCCACAACGTCTCCATCTTGGACCAGAGGCTAGAGGAACTTGAGCTTTTACATATGTGTAAGTCGCACTGTAGAATGGGAACCACCGAAACGCGCTAATTAACCTAGCGACGGGCGTCAAGGTGAATGGAGACTACCGGAGCTGGATCGACGAAAATGGCATGCAAAGGAAGCTGTATCCAAAGATCACCAACACCGGCGAGGAAGTGTACTTGGTTGCCTCTCTGCATACAATGCATTGCCTGGTAAGCCGAGATAAGACTCTTGCAAGTAAGGTGCAGCCCTGACAATTGCAACTAGGCGGCAACAATCCGAAACTATGGATACCTTATTAACGGTATCAAACCTACATGGAGCGATGCCCACGTGCTGCACTGCTTTAACAAGTTCTACAATACGATTGCTTGCCTTTCTGATTCTGTGGTAGAGGGCTATCAAGATTACGAGAGTTCGTTCGATAATTCGTCTGGTATTATTAGGAGGGCATCGGAGATGGCTAGTCAGCCTCAGTGCCGCAATTTTGGCGCCTTGAGACGATGGGCCGCTCATCCTACTCGGGCAATACCATTTTATTACGTTTCAGGTCATGATGAAGCGAGGGAGCCGCTTCCAGAGTTTTGCAATGTCAATCGTTGTCGCGCTGGTGAGGGATGGTTATGAGGTTGCGGAGGCTTTGGTCTGTATTTTGTGTGGGTACTTTCTCGGCTTTTGGCTTTCGTGAAGCACGCCGGACACCCTGTCACTAAGAGAAAGGTGACTATTGCAAAAAAATTCTCTTTCATTTCCTTGGGCGGCGTTAATTGTAGCCACAGTACCTATGTAGAAAGAGCGATATCCTAGATTAGCAGAAGTAATCTGGGTGGATTTTCTGTTTCTAAGGTCCAAGTGCTCGCAGAACTTACATGGGTGCTAATTTTTTCAGGTCATATAGGCGCAAATTCGGAACCAGAAGAGCAAGTCTATTTCATATAGGGAAAGCCCCTCTACCACTGAAACACGTGAGCATAGAAATAACGTTGAGCACGTGATCAGACGTCACATGACCTAAGCGAGGCAAGGCCACGTTGACATCGGGCTGCACTCATCGTAGTCCTCGCGGCACGACAACAACCTACTCGATCTTTAGTGCTATATAATTTATGAATCAGTATAGTAGGTATCTCACTACTGCTATACTTTCTGATTGCATCTATCTATCTGCCTTCAGAAGAGAGAATTCTTTAGTGACGTTACACTAATCTAATACCCGTGGTGTCGGTCAATCGGGCATAAGCAGCAGAGACTGCGTTGTTGCACAGCTACGTCTAACGCATGAAAGAACGCACAGTGATGGACATGTTGCTTCAGGAGACTGGCTGTAGCTCACCATTCCCGTCTTTGACGTATTGCGGGGCGCGGTCCGTCCCGAAACGCTAGCCGGCTAACGCAGCTTTTCCGAAATTCCCGGCTCCAGCGGTTATCATTTGTGGCGCAGCCTGCTCTACCTCTGTTCTAGGAGCGGTAGAATGGATGTGAACAGCCCGGCCAACAGCGAGCCCGACGGCTGATAAGAAGCTTCATAAGGCCTGGTCTCGCAGGATGTGAGCACCAACCCAATGAAATGCCATGCCCAATTCACAGCTAGGTGAGTAACATTCGACTGACTGAGAACATTGAAGAAGTTAAATATCAGAATAGCCAACATGTGTGAGCAATCAGAGCCAATCGCCATCGTAGGCATGGCCTTGAGGCTTCCCGGCCGGGTGCACAGCGCAGAGGATCTCTGGGAGATGTTGATGTCCAAAAAGAGTGGGCTAATTGACATTCCCAAGAAGAGATTCAATGCCGAAGGATTCCAGAGCGACACGCCAATGCCGGGGACCATGCAAACAAAGCATGGCTACTTCCTCGACGACATAGACCTCACGCAGTTTGATGCATCATTTTTCTCCTTCGGCCACAAGGAGGCAGAACGAATGGATCCAGCCCAACGTCAGCTGCTGGAGATTGCGTGGGAATGCCTCGAAAATGCGGGCGAGACAGATTGGCGTGGCAAGGAAATAGGATGCTATGTAGGGTCTTTTGGCGAAGATTGGCTCGACGAAAATGTCATGGACCCGCACATGTCGGGCCAGTATCGTGCACCAGGCTTCATGGACTTTTTCTTGGCAAACCGGGTCTCATACGAATACAACTGGGGCGGGCCGAGCATGACGGTCAAGACAGGATGTTCTGCGTCGCTTGTCGCCTTGCATCTTGCCGTCGAGGCCCTTCGCGCTGGAAGCTGTTCAGCTGCTATGGTTATGGGATGCAACCTCATGACGTCGCCGCTGATGACGGTTGTTTACACAGAACATGGACTGCTTTCCAAGACAGGTAAATGCAAGACGTTTGACGCAGCATCGGATGGCTACGGGCGCGGCGAAGCGGTCAATGCGGTGTATGTAAAGAGGCTGAGCGATGCAATCCGCGACGGCAATCCTATCCGCGCCGTGATCCGGGCTAGTGCAACGAACCACGACGGCAGGAAGACGGGTATGCTGAACCCGAACACGCGGGCGCAGGAGGCCCTCATCCGTAAGACATACGCCAAGGCCGGGATCACTGACTTCAGCCAGACGGGCTTCTTCGAGTGCCACGGGACGGGAACGCCAGTGGGCGATCCGCTCGAGGTTGGTGCTGTCGCCAACGTGTTTGGCGAGAGCGGCGTGCTCATTGGCGCCATCAAGCCCAACGTCGGCCATTCAGAGGGCGCAGCAGGCATTTCGAGCACCATCAAGGCAGTCCTCGCCCTTGAACACAGTATCATCCCGCCCAACATCTACTTTAACACGCCCAATCCCCGAAGTGTGTTCCCTTGCCATTTTATGTATACAAACACCCACTGACCGGTCTTGTACCTGCACAGTCCCCTGGAAGTCTGCACGCCTGGCCGTTCCCACCGAGCCGCTGCCATGGCCCAAAGACCGTGCAGAACGCGTCAGTGTAAACTCGTTTGGGGTGGGAGGGTCAAATGCACACGTTGGTAGCACCCGTCTTCGGTCAGTGTTCTAGCACAGTGGTGACAAGTTGCTGTAGGTTATTCTCGAGTCGTATCACGGACTGGAGCAAACAAGCCCGGCTGTCGAACCGCTCAAGGGGCCACGTCTGCTTGTGTTCAGCGCATCCAACTCAAAGTCGCTTGCTGCGCGGGTGCAGCAGCATCGCGAGTACCTCGAGACGAAGGCGTCTACCAACCTTGATGATCTGTCCTACACGCTGGGCTGTCGGCGCGACCACCTCGCATGTCGTGGATATGCCATTTGCAACGGGCCAGGCAACAAGTTCGAACAGGGTGCACTTCGGACGAGGCCCCGGCAACCGCGCCGCAATGTTTTTGTATTCACTGGCCAGGGCGCTCAGACACCCCAGATGGGCAGGGCATTAGTCGAGACGCACCCTGTCTTCCGCAACACCATCCGCAGACTGGATGCCTTCTTGGGAACATTGCACAATAGTCCCCCAGCCTGGACTATTGAAGGCGAGTGTACTGGTTGAAGCAGGACATCAACTGGGCTGGCTAACATAGTTTTAGGGGAGCTGCTCAGGCCCGCCGATGCCAGCCGGATCATGAAAACCGAGTATTCGCTGCCGTGCACCACCGCCATTCAAATCGCTCTAGTTGACGTGCTGCAGTATTGGGGCGTGCGGCCCGATGCCGTCGTGGGCCACTCGAGTGGAGAGATCGCGGGAGCATATGCTGCTGGCGCCATCACTGCCAAAGCCGCTATCTCCATTGCCTACTACCGTGGACAAGCGCCTCCGCACGCCACACAGGTCGGCGGTATGGCAGCCATCGGCCTGGGCGCCGATGAGGCACGCCCCCTCTTGGTCCCTGGCGCGGTGGTGGCCTGCGAGAACAGCCCTCACAGCTGCACCATCTCGGGAGACCGTGCAGCTGTGGAAGAGGTTGTGCGAAGTGTCGCTCAGCACCATGCCGGCGTGCTGGCGAGAATGCTCAAAGTAGAAAGTGCTTTCCATTCCCACCATATGGTTCCTTACGGATCTACCTACGAGGCCCTAATCAGGCCCTATCTCCACGATGCTTGCACCCCTTCTGTTCCCTTCTTTTCTGCGGTTACCGGTGATTTGGTGAAAGATAATGAGCTTGGCCCCGAGTATTGGCACCGTAGTTTCGTCCAGCCTGTCCTCTTCTCGTCGGCTGTCGAGCGTCTCTTGCACTGCGGAGACGCCAACAACAGCAATCTGCTCATTGAGATTGGCCCACATCCGGCCCTTCAAGGGCCCCTTAATCAGATTCTGCGGGACGTGCCAAAGGTCCACGCAGTGTATCTAGGCACGCTTCACCGAGACGAGGAGGCTGACGCCGCACTCCTGCGCACTGCCGGTGAACTCTTTGCCCAGCACGCTGGCATCGATCTCGCACACGTCCTGAACCCCGGCCGCGTTCTCGCCGATCTTCCCGCATACCCGTGGCTGTACGATACGTACATCCACCAGCCTCGCAATGCAGCGGCCTATAAAAACCGCAAGTATCCACGCCATGGCCTTCTGGGCGCTCGGGTGCTGGAAGGGAACGACATCGAGCCCGCATGGCGCAATCTTCTCGACATGCAGCATGTATCTTGGCTAGCTGACCACATCGTGGCAGGCCAAATCGTCTATCCCGGAGCCGCATTCATTGCCATGATCGGGGAGGCAATTCGCCAGGTGTCGGGCGGTATTGAATCATACACGATGCAAAATTTCCACCTTACTGCGCCGCTTGTGCTCGATGTGGATAAGGTCATTGAGCTACAGACCCGTTTGGTACCGCAAAATGCAGAGACCAATCACGCCAAATGGTACGAGTTTAAGATCTTGTCAAACGATGGAATAGCGTGGACAAGCCACTGTACCGGCATGATCCGATCAGGCACGACAGCAGTCGTGCCTCCTGTCGACGGACCGCTCCCACGGCACTTGCCAACTACAATTTGGTACGATACGGCGAAGGCGGTTGGCCTGGACTATGGTACGGCGTTCCGCGGCCTTGATGACATCACAGCAGGTACCCTAGATTCACAGGCAGGAGCGACCATCTTCGACTTTGACGACACCACTCGGTACGCCGCGCACCCTGTTGTTTTAGATCAGTGTTTCCAAATCAGCCTAGTTGCGCGATCGCGGGGTCTGCGCCGCCATTGCAAGCGCCTCTGTGTCCCCACGTCCATCGAGGAGCTCGCCGTGTGGGGTGCAGCCAGCGATGAAATGCTTACTTCTGCCAAAGCCCGTGAGTGTGACGGGGGTTTTACAAGCGAGACTGTGGTAGCAAACTCTAACGGGCAGCCTGTTATCTACATGAAGGGCGCCGGCTTCTCCGATTTTCCGTCCGCGCGACACGACGAAGAGCGCAAATTGGCATCGTATCTTGATTGGATTACGGATATCGACTTTGTGGACGCAAGAGAGCAGTTTGCGCATTTGTCAATGCATGAGCTTATCGCGCTAATTGGATTGAAGGGCCCAGCTCTTCGAATCTTGGAATTAGCATCCGGTGAAGATCAGGTCACGCGAGTCGCCCTGAGTGCCATGGAGCCGAGGGACGGGGAACGGCTTTTCTCAGTATACACGTATGCTTGCATGTCTGGGGAAGCGAAAGAAAGAGCCGAAGAGAGACTTGCAGATGTTGGGGCAATCGAGTTCGTGTGCCCGATACCAGGCAGCTGTGGGCAGGAGGACGAGACTTCCGCGGGCGCGTTCGACTTGATCATTGTGAATCCAGAGGTACGTACATTGCCTTCCTTATGACGATGCTTTGGGCTAATTCAAATCAAGGTTCTGGCGCAGACTAGAAGCCTTGCAGGTCATTTAAGCAATATAAAGAGGATGCTGCGTCCCGACGGACGATTTTTATTGCACGGCACATCAATCGGTAAGTAATAAAGCAACACGCAGCACATATTCGTCTAATCCAAACTGACCAAATCTAAAGCTGAACCAATGCTTGATGTGCAGGACAGCCTTCGAAAGGGGGGCTTCTCGATCTTGGTTGATACAGCTCCCTCGGGTATTATACTAGCAGAGGTTGCCAGTCAAACAGCGAATGTCACCCAGCAGGTCACCCTGCTAGTGCAGGACCCTGACCATATAACGACCCGTTCTATAGAGAAATACTTCCTGGCTCATGGCATCAAAACCGACATCTGCTCCAATCCAAGCTCCCTCGGGGGCATGCATGGGAATATCGTCATCTCACTTCTCGATCTTCAAGGCCATTCCTACATCTATACGGCAAACAAGGACAGTTTTGAGCCGCTAATCCGCAACCTGTGCGCTTTCCAGGGTTCTTTACTCTGGCTCTTGCCCCCAACGCAAAGGTCGTGCACCGATCCCCGCCCTTCTATGATACTTGGCCTAGCTCGAACCATTCGCGCCGAACATGGAGTGGACATTACCACTATCGATGTCGATGTCTGTGCCGCGTCTTCTGACGCTGGCCTTAACGCCCTACTAAAAATCTACAGGAAAGTCCCGGCGAGGAGGCGTACGATTGGTAGTCATCATGCAGAGGTAGAACCAGACTATGAATACGCCATCGATCATGACGGGGCTGTGAAGGTGCCACGGATGCGCTGGTCTTCGCTATTGAGCGAGATTGTAGACTGCGAGACGGCGCCGAAGAGTTCCGGTGCTCCGTCTACTTTCTCAGCGGCCTCTCCAGAATTTCGCCCCGATGTTTCGTATCTCCTCATCGGTGGGTTAGGCGGACTCGGCCGAGCAGTATCTACGTGGATGGTCGAGAAAGGGGCACGTAGTTTGGTCTACCTTTCACGCAGCGCTGGCAGCGAAGCGACCAAAGCATTCTTAGGAGAGTTGGAAAGCCAAGGCTGTGCTGCCACAGTCGTTGCTGGGAGCGTCAGCAAGCGCGAGGATGTCGCCAGTGCGGTACAACTTGCACCCATGCCCGTAGCAGGCGTGATGCAAATGTCGATGGTGCTCAAAGTGCGTTATTCTTTCCCTTTACCCACTTTTACATTCGGGATTCTACATGATGCTGACGAGTCTAGGATGCTCCGGCCAATCAGATGACGTTTCCTGAGTGGAACGTATGTGTGCAACCCAAGGTCCAGGGTACATGGAATCTCCACGATGCCCTTATAAGCGCACCTCTCGACTTCTTTGTTTTATTCTCGTCCATTAACGGCGTCACTGGCCAACACGGTCAAGCGAATTACACGGCTGCCAACGCCTTCCTCGACGCGTTTGTTCGATACCGCCATAGCAGAGGCTTGGCTGCGTCAGTGATCGACATCGGTGTCATGAGCGAGATTGGCGTTGTCGCGCAAGATGAGCGGCTCGCAAATCAATTTCGCAAGGCCGGATATGCGATGCTCGGAGAACAGGATCTGCTGGACGGCCTTTCCATTGCTATTGCCAACTCACATGCCCAGCCGTCGTCATCGTTGACCAAGAGTCAGCTAGTTTTAGGAATGTGGTCTGACTTGCCGCTGTCAAACCCGGCAAATCGCGTGATTTGGAAGCGAGACGCGCGCATGTCCATCGCAAACTGCTTTTCTGCTGCCATGCCGAGCGGTACTGAAAAATCTGAAGACGAGGACGATGAGACGAGTGAATTAGTCGAGTTATCCCGGCTCCACCCGGAAAAGATGAAGGAGGAGGACACGGTGGCAAAGTTGGCTACCGCCATTGGGAGAGCTTTATTCGCCCTACTCGTCCGCCCGCTTGAGGATCTCTCGATTGTGGAGAGCCTAGGGTCGATGGGTTTAGACTCGCTGGTGGCCATCGAGCTGCTCTCTTGGGTCCAGCAACGATTCCATGTCATGCTGACGACGCTGGAGATCCGGCAATGCTCCTCGCTCGTGCACCTGGCGCAGAAGTTGATCGAGCGGCTCTTGCAGTTGCAGCAGTAAATTTGAGCTAGTAGATAGAAACAGCATTATGTTTCAAATTGAGATCTGGTAGTAACTATTGAGCGACTGAGGTTTTGGACTACGCTGGTCCTGCCTGTCTGGCTGGGCCTCCTCATATAGATCCCGTTGACTCGATAGACGAAGAATTCCTTTCAACCGACTTGAGAGTCTACATTTACGGCCGATTACACCTTTGTGATGGTCTTTCGTGAAAACGAGGCACTTCGCTGCCATAAAGTTCTTTCAGCAAGCATAGGTATTAGCATGTAACAACGTCATCATAGCTTCTGGTGGGTGGTGGAATGTACAAGAAGATGACTACAAAGCTCGACGTTTGGGTTTTTGGCCACGAAGCCTGCGTGCAACAGTTATACCGAAGAAGAAGACGGCGACAAGTCCGCTTGTGCAATCCAACGTCGGTCATTGCGATTAACACCTCAACCGACCGCCTGGATGTATACGCACCCACTTTCTGCTGCACACCGATTTCAACCGCGTCGTTTACAGCTTTAGCCTACTTGTTCAGACGTCACCCATGGTCTACGCAATTTTGTCACGAGCCACTGGTGGAATCATAGTCCTTTCAAGCAATGTAGCGCATGAGAGGCTTTGCGGTTATCCCCATCGGTCATTGATCCTAAAAGCTACAAGATGTGCATGCAGCAGTCAATCCCGAGGTCCCTTGGTGATTTACATTAATGCCGCTCTATTTGACATATTTTACAATGCCTAAAGCCTAGTTGTATAAGCAGAGCATTGCATCGGGGTAGCATGCGCTGTTTAAGAGCCACCTTAAATCACAATTTGTCGGTCAAACATAAGGAACAGTCTCTCATATTGAGAAATCCTCGAATAAAGAGCTACTAATAGCCTTAGGCCTCGCAGAACTGGCCTCGACTATATCTTTTGGAAGTTATCGAAAGGTCTCTTCCGCCCACCTCTGAAGTGCTGAATAATCCCTACACCGATACCGCTGTCCATCCCCTATATTGTCGTGCCCGGGAAGGAAAGAAATGACAGATGCGTCTGCGAAACAAGTGACCGCCTCACGGAGGCTATTGATGCAATGCGCCATATGTGAGGGCTCCCAAACAGACGCCTGACCGTGGAGTCTGTGGCCATATTCTTCAATAAAGGTCTCCTAGTACAGCTTAGCCACCATGGATCCGTCAACAAAAACCTAGAATCGCGCTTACTATACAGTGCATCTGATGCAGACCTCTAAGGCCATACATTTCGTGGCCTGAATTCGCCCAATCATATGTCACGAGCTTATGGGCCTTGCCATCATCTCCCATGTAGGTTGTATATCTTCCATGCATTAAAACGTTGGATGCTTCGGTTGTCAGGCATGTCGGTTATCGGCGGAAGATCCAAGTGCACTCACAATTGCTTATCACCCTCAGTCGGTCCACCATCGCTTTAACAGCATCAAGACTGTCAAATGTATCTAGACTGATACGATAAGGATCCTTTTCTGGTATGTCTGTGTACTTGACAGGTCCGCCTATTTCTTCGAGGATGTCAGTGAAAGCAGCGAAAGCAATGCAGCAGTACTATTTACTTACCTTTAGGCACAAATCCTGTTGGATCTTCTCCGAGGAGCGGCTCGGAAGCCAGTTGAGGGTACAGAACCTCAGGCTTGAAATTGAATATCTCAAGTACTGCCAAGATCATACACAATGCCGCGAGGGCCAGGGAAAGCATGCGGGATCTTCGAAGCCGCTTAATAAGGTCCTGATGTACCTCAAGAGGCACTTTCTCGGTATTGCTCTCGTCTTGCTCTCCTAGCAGTCTGTATTTCGTTTCGTCGGCCATGATGAATCGTGTTTTTCCTTGCCGATACAAGAAAATCACCTGTGATGTGATAGCACGGTTCTTGAAATAGGCTACCGGGCAGCAAAACTGAAAGAACCACTAAGGTTGAATTGAATTGAGTTTTGTTTATGTACCGGGAATTATCAGAGGTTGGCAGGATTACAGCGGAAATCGATTCACAGTGGTCTGAGCAGCATCGAACCGAGCACACTATACATAAACCGCGACAGACAGAATGTGTGATGGATTTGCTGCAGTAGGAAAAGCGTTCTACCGACTGCCTCTCTCCTCGTTTTTAACCGGCAGATCCGAAGTCACTCTTTCCGACACCGGTTCGCGGATACCGAAGATGCAATACCCACAACCTCTAAAACTTCCATAGTTGAAAAGCAACCTGCACGCCGTGATGTGAGTCATCGTAGTCATCGGACGTCTGCGACGCCTCATCCGCCAGCTCACGCTGAAACCACCCGCAACGACTGCACCTTCACTCTGTCGGGCACGCTTTGTATAAGTAAATACTCTTAATGAAAACTTGAAAGAGAAACATCTCAACCATAGCTTTTGTGCGCGGCTATCAACTGTGTTCTTGCGTGGTATCGATATCAGTGATTGGGCGCATCCGGTGCATGGACATGCTAGCCGACACACGAAGTTAACCGAATACCAGTACCGGAACAGATCCGAATCTACATACCTATGGTAGCTAAATCTTATTCGAAAATTCTTTCCTGTGTGACTTTCTTACTAACGTTTTAATCTACCCTCCTGATTCATTCTGGTCGAAAAATGGACGAGAAAACCACTCTCAATCGAGCCAAACTTCCTGCATTTAAACCGGGCTATAAGTTGCTGGGTATCTTTCAGAAAAGCCCTTCTTACCAACCTATGCCAGATGAAGACCCTGTGAAAGATGAAGTGAAGCGGGATGGCATCGTTCATTGGTGCTACATCCCTTTTGCTTACCGGGCATGCATGGGAGTCCTCATGATCTCCTTGGTCGTACTGGCTATCATGGGATTACAACCCGACCACAACAACACAGATGTTTACCGCCTGGACGCAAGGAAGCATAGATGTGGAAAAACGCCTAAAGAAGCCCGCGAGCTTGGGTGCCATTTCGACGTGGTCACTTTTGCGTGGGTACCCGAGGAGTGTTTAGACGAAGAGCTTGCCGCCGAATTCCGTCTCCAGAATTTCACCTGGTACAACGACCCAGCCGGGACTGCGACACACACGGAAGAGGAGCTGGCTGAGGATCTTTACGACCACTGGATTACACAAGGAGATCATGCGACACATTGCTTCTTTGCGTGGAAAAAGACACATCGCGCGATAGAGGCTGGAAGGCCTTTACATGGTGGACTTACCAAATGGAAGCACACCCTGCACTGTGGTGACGTTCTTCTGTCAAAAGAAGACCCTAAGAGTATAAGTGGGCATGTGCGTCTGAAATACCCTTTGTGTTGAAAAAGTACCGGGTAAGCGACCATACCTTCTCTTGCAAAGCTCCGTGGATTCATTTTTAATTACTTCGCCAGATACTGACATGCGTCTGTTGGTAACGTGTTTCACTCACCGGCCATCCCCGCAAAACTTAATGTCACTTAACGCACTGCAATTCTACAAGGACAGCGGGTTGTATTGCAATATGCTATAATACTTAGTCTATATACATCTACATTGATCCCTTATCCTTCCTCATACGTAACACTTCGTACACGTTGGTGATGCGCGCTGATATCCACATGTAGCCTGAGCTGTTTCAGCCTCCGCAACCACTATTTCTGCCTCCACATCAAGCTACTGTCATTGCTGAGTCTATAGGACGCTTCCGCGAGCTATATACTAAAGCCACTTTTCTCGTTTCTGTGGCCGACACTCGTTCGCTGGATGTGGCTTTCTTAAGCTCATCTATAAAAGTAATCGCAGAGTTCATCAGAAGTCAGCATACTTTAATAAGCTGGTGGATAGCTTTACTGGTATGTCTTTTCTTGGCTAGAATGGGAGCCTATACGTGTTGAGCTTGCAGCTCAAGCTGCGCTGCCGCATGCGGTGTTGTTGCTGTCCATACGATCTCGTTGTCCGCTGTTGTGTGTCTTTAGAGTTAAGTCATCAAAAATAGATTGTATGTTGGAGCTTTTCATATTCTATGGCTTTGCGAGGCTATAGACAAGATTGACAAACCATCATCTTAATACTGTGACGATGCAGTTGATTCACATCCATCACATCAGCCCTATCTGCGAGAACTTCCGAAAGTCATATTCATTTCCCCAAGGTTCTGGGCTACCTGCGAACCTTCGTTTGTCGAGCCTCTGAAATCAGCCATGTTGTGGTTTGTCGTGTGGGGTTTGACCTTCTCTAGCGCCTCTCGGAGCGATTCGTGCTCGCTCAGCGCGTTCCCAAGGTCCTCAAGAGCCTTAGGGTTGTCCTTGTGAAGCTCTTTGGCATCGTCTTGATTCAGCTCCTCCCGTTTCTTAGTCACTGCTTCTTCTGGAAAGGCAGCAATGAGCTCGTTGATGAGGTTGGAAATTGCGCCCACTAGTTGATCGAACTCTTTCTTTCCGGTGAGCGCCCATTTGGTCTTCGTAAGTAGGTTAGCTTTAGCAGCTTTGTTCATGCGGCTCATGGAGAGGCCTCGCATCTTGCTACACATGTCCTTCATGCGGTTGCTGAACTCTGATTCGCTCACTCGGCGACCATGGGTTTCGGACTTCTTTTCCACCTCTTCGAACAGTATGATGATCTGCTGGAGGGCATGTTTAGCTTTCTTAACATCGTCTTCCGGGAAGGGGAGCTGTTCCTGCTCGCGTATGCAGTCGAGACCTACAGCTTCACCCCACTGTGCGAGACGGAGCTGAAGTAGATTGAGCCTGTTTCGATACGTCTCGACATCCTGCTCAAAAGCCTTGCCAAGGCGAACGATTTGGAAGCATTCAAGAGCGCTGTTGAAAAGTGTTGCAATGCCAAGTGCGCTTAAAGCAAGACCAACTGGTTCGGCCATTACAGATGAGTTGATCTACTGGAAGAGTGGGGGAGCGATATGAGGGGCTTCCTTGGATGACGCGAGGATGGACATCTTTATAGAGAGAGAAAACTTGCTGATCAAGCCTGGTTAATAAATGTGTCACTTTACCTGATCAGCTATGCTTGCTCCGGTCTACATGTGATCATCTGCACTGACAGTATGATATTGATGTAACGATACTACTTTAAACATGATAAGCGATTGAAAATACTACACAAATCAACTAGAGTCGTTACTCATAATACAAAGGAAATGGAAGCAGGAACCTACAAGCACTAATACGTCGCATGTATGACCATTCCTGCCGTTGGCGCAGCATCTTTCTCACTTTCACGCTGCGCTTTCTTCAGTAGGTCATCGGCAGTCTTACCTTCCAGGTCGCGCATATTTTCCTTCACACCGCTTCTAATCAGTATCTCCATCGTCGTTCGCTGCTGTGCAACAGCTGCAAAATGTAAAGCCGTCTTGCCGCCCGGATCCGTTGCATTGACCCAGGCACCTTTATTGATAAGGAGCTCGACAATTTGTGCACGGCCCCAAATCGCAGCCCGTTGCAGTGCAGTCTGACCGTTCGAATCAACTTGGTTGACCTGTGCACCATTTTGAAGTAAAAAGTTCACAATGTCGACGGGTGCGCTCGTTACAGCAAAGACAAGAGGCGGGATACCTTTCTCTGAGGGCTGATTAACAGAGACTCCTTCGTCGAGAAGCATCTGGGCGCCTTCGCGATTGTTGTGAAATACCGCGAGGCATAGACAATCAGATCCAAGTTTATCGAGATTGCTGAGCGTGGCTCCGCGACGCAGCAGCATCCTCGCTATACCCTGATTTCCGCAACCAATGGCCTCTATCAAAGCAGAATTCCCTTCATCACTCTTTGCCATATAGTCGACTCCAGATTGGATGAGCCAGTCCAGGCTGGCTTCAAGCCCATGCTCAGCTGTGCAGCGCATCAGCATTTCGCGGGTTTTGTGAGAAGTTGCGGGTCCTAGGAGTGACTTCTGTACTAGTGGCCACTCGAACAATGTGTGCAAGATGGTGTCTGCATGTTGGTCCTCTGAGGTTGCTATGTCGAAGAGGTGCTGCATGAGATCGCTCCAATTGTTCACGTGGCTGAGCAGTCCATAGATAACTTTGGCGCTAACAGGGGCTTTAAAGGCATGCTCCAGCATAGTGTCCAAATGAGGTTGTACTTGCGCTCCAGCATCGAGTAGCAATTCAGCTGCTTTCCAGAATTTTCCGGCTACTGCCTGAACTAATGGGTGGAACATGATTTTGTTTCCAATCAGTTCCGACTCTTCCTGGCAATCAAAATTACCACGTGCAATGAGTAACCGCAACATGGGCTCCCTATGCGTATTTAGAGTTTGGATGTATGCTCGATAAGTTGGACGCGCTCCCCGTTCCAGCAAAAGACGGCATAGTTCCAGGTTTCCCGACTGAATGGCATACACCAGTGGAGTCATCTTACCGATGTCGATTTTGTTGAGAACCTGACTTAACTCTGATTCGGGCGTACTTTCTGGCATAAGTTGCGCAGCCCAATGTAGAAGACCAAGCCGACAGGCTAGATGTAGCAACGGCAATTTCGTCCTTGCATAGGCTACCTCGGTACCATACTTGACATCATCAGATTCGAGAAGGTACGATGAAAGCCAGTTGATTCTGAGCTTGGTGCCGCGATTGATCTCTGAAGACTGCCCGGTCTCCTTGAAAAACGCGTGTGATTCACAGACTTTGCCCCAATCGGACTCTGTCACATGCCTGGCATGATCCATCCAATTCATCGATGCATAGTTGAGAAGAGGGTGTTCGGAAACCACTCTGGGTAGATTCAAGCAAGTAGAACTCTCTTCCATGCCATGCGCTGCCAAGTACTCGATACATTCCTGGAAAACCTTCAGCTCAAGTTCTCTCTTATCGAATCGAAGACTTTGTGGAATCGGAGCATCTTTATTGGCAGCTCTGATGAAGAACATTCGCATGGATAGATGAGGAAACGTGACAAATATATCCTCGGTGACTGATCGAGGCTGGTACTGGACGTATCTCACATCTTCCGTTGTCGTTCTCTGCGCAACTAGTATTTTCTCTTTCTTGAGCCTTTGGTTGCTGTCGTATAGCACGATGATTAAGGATTTGAGCGGCTCATCGCGGATGAAGCAATGTCGTCGGCTAGTGAGAGGCCGTTGTGCGTAGTTCACTGATTTCCCAGGCATGGATTGGAAGAAGCCGCGGCACTGCTTGAGCTGTCCATGCAAAGTGCTCTCAGCACTTATACCTCTATTATCTTTGCGACTCAAAGCAGCGGTCAGTTCTCGTAAGGTCAGAGGGCGGTGAGCGACCAGCATCCAGCGCAGAACCTCGGGTAAGGATTTGCGACTCTTTGGTTTGACTCCATCCAGCATTTTGCTGTACATCGCTTCTAGTCCAACAGGTTCTTGGTCGATTAAATCAAGAAAATCGTCTGCCGTAACCGGATTTTGTCTTTCCAATTCTTGAATACACAGCCCAATCCATAAGAAAGTACCCTGAGCATTCTCCACCAAGGTCTGTCGGACCTTTTCTTCGATCACGTGGAAGTCCTCGATCGTATCCCGAAATTTTTTAAGCTTGTCACTGATGAAGGCATCGACGTCTCTATTTACGGTGGGGCCATGGGTGGGTTCTAGTCGAATGTGATGGTTGGGCAGAAAGTGTATTCCACCAGCCTCGCGGCTGACCCCGAAGAGCTTGAATGGTTGAGACCTGGGTGAACCTTCGGCGGGAAACGTCTCGAATAGACCACGGAGTAGTAACGGTTGTGACGCTGGGTCACACTCATCGATGCCGTCTATGATGCAGTAAACGTCGCCTGAGTTCTTGTCCTCCAGCATGTTGACAAAAATGCTCCAGAGAGAACCGAAGGACACGATTGTCTGCTGGTAGTTTTCTTTTCGAAGATAAGGTAAGCAGTGTGCCTCCAAGTGCTGCCTCCTTTTGATAAACTGCCAAAGCAAGCCTCGCACGATGGCTATCGCGTTGTTCCGGGACGAATCCTGCTCACTACAGAAAAAGTAGAGCACTGTGCAGTCCTGTTGAAGGTCCCTTGTCTTGGTAAGAAGAGCGTCGATGACGCGTAGAGCGAGCATTGTTTTCCCCTTTCCTGGTCCACCCGAAAGCCATAGCGAGCTGGAATCGGAGTTGATCCATGCCAGGTAGTCCGGATCCTGAAGCAACCAATCACACGTGCCAGGCACACGACATCCCTTCTCGGCCAGCAGGTTGTGTCTGTCAACATCCGGATCAGTGATGAAGAGGTGAGCAAGCGCTTTGTTCGAGTCGCTGCCTTGATTGAAATTGTTGTTGACGGTGCCTGAGTTGTTCGCAATCTGGGAGCCACTATTGTGAGAATTCCAATGCGAACTGTGGTCTTGGGCGGTCGACATTGCGATTCGACCTCTCGGTATTGTCCAAGAGAGGAGGAAGTGTCACGCAAGACCAATTTATGTTCTTCTCAGGCTCGCTACCAGAGGCCAAGCCAAACGCGAGATGATGCCACGACGCAATTCATGAAAAAACAGATCTGCAAATAGCTTGCTAGTTCACAACAGCTTGATGTATAGGCAATTGGGAACATACTCATTCTCTTTACCGGCATTCTCTACCTCCAGTGTTTGACATATTGATGTTTGACCCCTCGACCGAGACAAAATGTATAGCTCCAACTCACTTATTGCAATTCTGAGCCATATTAAACAAACAATTTAGTTGGAACAAAATAAATGGGTGCTAAATAAGACCAGTATCAAAAAAGAAGTAGAGACTCAAATGGGAAACGAAGCGATGAGGAATTCGAAGACTAAAGAATGTGAACCAAGGAAAGAACCCCGCCAAATGTATTCAGAGACACGATCGCAACCTATGCCTTCTTTTGCGACCCTTTTGAGCAGCCAGTCGCAGTTTATACATAGCCTCAATAATATGCTCGTTGATGATCTTGACAATGTCCTCGTGCCCTTCATGCTTAGCCAGAGTCAACGCAGTTTGATTCCCGGCGTCGCGAAGGGATACGTGAGCTGCGTGATCAAGCCATGTCTTGACAAAATCTGCATGACCATGACCAGCCGCGATGATCGAAGGAGTTTGACCCTTGTTGTCCCTCCTACTAACGAATGAGCTTTTTGCATTGGTGAGAAGTATGGCAGCAGCCGCATGGGTATTTCGCTTGGTAAGTCCGTGAAGAATATTACCCGAACGTCCTGGCATATCAACTGGGCTCCAGATGCTATCCACTCCATACTCCAGCAGGATGTCGAATATGTGCTCATTACCAAGGCCAGCAACATCCCACAATGCAGTTTCCTGTTGACTGCCGTCGATACTCCAAGCTCGAGCATTGACGTTGCCGCCATGCTCTAGTAGACATCTCAATATGCTGGCATGACCTTCAGAGGCTGCAACAAAGACAGATATGCTAACCGTAGTAGTAGCTGCATCGCGTCATTGTGGCCCTTCTGTACGGCATAATGAAATGGCGTTTGACCCCGTAGACCTAGCGAGACGATGGTGCCTTGCCTAGTTACTGGTCTCTGGGCCCAGAACTTTGGGGACTTTTGAGTCCAGAATTCAATCCAAAGAACCAGTCCCAAGCTCGCAGCAAGACGTAGGAATGGTACCGTCTCTCTCTTCCGCGAGCCTAGTTCACCAGCTGCTCCTTCAGTTTTCTCTTCACCACCTTACAATTGCCTGGACATTTTCATGTGAGCAATGAGTACGACAAGAGTGATGCAAATGATAAGTATCGTGCGAGGTCCTTATGAGCGTCAGTCGCGTCGCGTGGTCTTGGCATGACGCAAGGCCCTGTCGGACCCCCGAAATTATTCGCTCGCGTGGGGTAACAACTGCATGAACCGCTCGACGTTGCCTAGCATAATCGCAAAGGTCACAGTATCACAGCCACATCAGCTTGTACCAAGCGCACTACCCTGCCACCCGCTCCAATCCATCGTCTTCAAAATAGGACGAAAACACAAAGCCCATCGCCAGCAAGCGGCGCAAGGGAAGCCGTGGCGCGAAAGTGAGAAGGGTCGCGGCAAAGCCAAAGACAAAGGCAAAGGCAAGGGAAAACGAAACAGGATGGGGAACGAGGAGTCCCGGGTCATTGACCCGAATACGTTACCCCAAACTCTAAAGGCGCGGACGGTAGAGGCTTTGGCGCAATATATCAAGGATGGGCGCGCAAAGCGAATAGTGGTCATGGTGAGATATATTCACTACCCTGTGATACCGTCGCTAATATCCTAAAGACGGGTGCAGGAATCAGTACATCGGCAGGCATACCAGACTTCAGATCACCAGAAACTGGACTGTATGCAAACCTCGCCCGCCTCAACCTACCTTACGCCGAAGCTGTCTTTGATATCTCGTACTTCCGCGAAAAGCCAGAACCTTTTTACATGCTGGCCCAAGAACTGTGCCCCGGAAAATTCCGACCCACGATTACACATATGTTTATCGCCCTGCTGCATAAGAAAGGTCTTCTGTTGAAGCTGTTCACACAAAACATCGACTGCCTAGAGCGCGAGGCTGGTGTACCGGGAGAATCAATAATTGAGGCGCATGGCAGCTTCGCAACGTATGACAACCCTACACATTTGAGACGAGAATGGGACTCACACAACGCAGACAAAGATGCATCGAATGCAAAACACCCTACCCAGCTGATCGCATGCGAGACGCGGTCCAGAATAACCAGGTCCCACGCTGCGTCGATGCCGATTGCAATGGCCTCGTAAAACCAGACATTGTCTTCTTCGGCGAGCAACTTCCCTCCGCATTCTTCGACAACCGCGACCTCCCCACCGAAGCCGATCTCGCTATCGTAATGGGCACCTCACTCTCTGTCCACCCATTCGCCTCTTTACCACAACTCTGCAAAGACCGAACGCCTCGGTTGCTCATTAATAGCGAGCAGGTCGGCGACATGGGGTCACGGCCAGACGATGTGCTGATGCTGGAGGACTGCGACAGTGGCGTACGAAAATTAGCAGAAGCGTGTGGGTGGTTGGAGGAGCTTGAAGCACTCTGGGCCGAAACCGCGCGACCCGGCGAACCTGAAAAGATCGAGGAAGAGAAACCGAAGAAGAACAGAGACGAGTTGTTACAAGAAGAAATCGACAAACTTACCCAGGATGTCGACAGCACTCTGAAACTTGGAAAGGACCAACATGAATGGCTTGACAACCATGTCGACAGGAAAATTGCGAGGAAAGAAGACGATGAGACGAAAGAAAACGGCGAGAACCTTCGACCGCCTGATGATCCCGAGTCGAAGGTAATGGCGCCGGTTGCGAGGTCGGAGAGTGGTTTAGGACATGTGTTTCCGCACATGAAGAAGCCGTCGTTATAGGGGGCATCGGTTTGGGGTGCAAATAATACTATGGAGATGCACGCATGGTTACGAATGCGACGTCACTATCGCTCTGCAAGCAGACCTTAATTCCGAGAAGGCGCAGCACAAGACAAGATTCAGAGGGAGGTTTTGGGGACTGACATGCTTCGACAGTCTTGACAGTTTCAATATACCCGATTAGGAAAGTGTGGATTGTCTGACGTCTTTCTCCTCAAGTTCTGGGCCAATCAGAACGCTGCATCTGCTATTAGCGTCCCTCTTCGTTGCTAGCGTCACTCTTAGCAAGCCCGGGCGACTTGATCAGAACAACTATTATGAATCATTTACGTCGTGAATAATTGTTGAAATACCCAGCGCTCCTATGTATGCTATGCGTTCAAGAACTTAAGAAACTTTGTATGCCACCTACAACATCTCGCCCTCGTCATCCAATCCCCCTTCATCTTCCTCTTCCCACTCGACATCATCCGCCGCAGCGTCCGCTTTCCTCTGCACCTCGGCCAAACCGCTCATCTCCTCCACCCAGCCCTTCTCATTCAGCGCTTTCTGCACAAACTCCCATGGATCCTTCTCGTACGCTGCAATCACCGTGTCGCTGCACGCGGAGCAGCAATCATAGGGAGTGCCTTCGACCTGGATATTGCTGAACGTCGACAGGTAGCCGCGGATAGTATGTGGGATTGTGCCGAGAGGATGCTTGAAAGGTGCTGGAAGGGATGGATGCGCGGGTTTTGGAGCCACGCGTGATGCTGGGGGCGCTATGCCTGTGGGAGCGCGAGCTTTGGAGGGGTGTTGTAGTATAGAGACGAGCAGTTCGACGAGGAGTGATGATGCAAGTGGAGCGACACCAGGACGGGTAACAGTGCATTGTTGGTCGAGGGTTGCGTTACTGAGGGACTGTTGACTTGGTTAGTGTAGGTTCGAAAGGTATTGTTGCGGGACTTACATCTGCGGGCGCGACGACGTCGTTGCAGAAGTAGCATCCCAGCTCGACTTCACCTGGCTTGTCGGTTTTTAGGCCGTGCCGCATGACTACAAAGGTGTCGAAGCCCAGCGCAGCATTGAGGACGATCTTTCCTGCTGCTTTGCCCATGACTGTGGGCAACCATCTACTTTCTCTTGTGTCCATGAGCAAGAAGATGACATCATGCTCGCTGATCAGTTTTTCTAGCTTGTTGAAGTGCTCTTTCGTCTTTGAAGCATCAGTGATGGGATGGCCAAGCATTGGCACTTCCATAACATGACCTGTCGCGTCAACACCCGGATATATCTCTTCCAGAGCCTCGGCGGCACGCTCCGCTTTCTTCGCACCTCCTTGCAGACAGTCTTTGAAGTCGAACAACGGCTGTCGCACCGGATTTGAGAAGCTCACAGTTGCGTTGTCGATGAAAGTGATCTTTCTCACTCCCCAGCCCATCAACGTTCTTGAGACATAAGTACCGAGCGTTCCCGCCCCCAGTAACAAACATTTAGTGTTCTTAATCACATCCAGATCGATACCAGGCGCTATTCGCCACTTGATAAGCTTCAAGTTGAGGTCCACAGCTTGATCCGCCAGTTTTCGCTCGTCCATGTATTCCGATAGATCGACGTTTCTTGATGAGAGCTTCCCGGCCTCTGTTCGCTCCCAGCCAGTGACCTTGGGGAGTTGCGGTGTTCTCGGTCGCTCATTCGGCACTTCTGGGCCTGATTGAGTAGTGCTTGCATCGGCCTGGAGTTGAAGAATGATCGAATTTGATTGGTCTCGCTTCATGTGCGTGTCGCGGTAGCACATGATCTGGGCTTCACTGAGGTGCCACTTATGCCGCAAGAGGACAAGCAAGTTCCTCAGCGGCCATCCGGGATTACTCTCATATGTCGATGGATCCGCAAAACAAATGAGCTGGTCCTCTTTGTTCACACCGTTGAAGAAGCCCTTCTCAAACTGCTCGAGCTTTCCTATAGCCCAAGTGTATCCAAATTCTTCCAAGGGTGTGACAGGTGTCTTCGGTCTCTCATCTGGATTGCCTCCGCCTCTTATACGCTTCGCCAAAAAGAAGCCTCTTTGACGAACATCAGAGCTGTAGCGCCACGTCTGTACGGCGTCTACCAAGTACGTCGTTTCCCGCGCATGCAGCCTCGTCATCTCCCCGACTTGTTTCCACGGCGGATCTGACTGTATCGCAGGGAAAGCAAAGTGATATGTGAACTTGTACTTCTTGAGGTTCGCGAAGATGATGGCAGTGAAGGAGGAAAGGAGAGACGGGCATTCGTAGATTGAGCCGTCGTGGATAGCTTCCCAGATCTATCTCACATTAGTGAGTCTCACATGTGTAGCGAGGAACCCATACTGTCTGGGCGCATCGTTCGAGGATCGCTGCTCGGTCAAGGTTCTTGTAGTCTTCTATGGTATTGCAGTTCTTGATGATGCCTTCGGCGCGGCAGTACGTTGGTGGAGCGCTGCATCCCATCGTCAGCAGCACATTCCGTAGAGCGATTTTGGAACATACTCGTCCGATGTTAGTGCATTTGGGTGTATTTGAACGCGCATAGATCGTGTAGCATGTTCTCCGGGTCGCACCTCGTATAGACCTAGTATTTTCCGTGCAGAGTCATCCAGCATGTCATGGTTAATTTTGATATGTGCAAGCGCCGCGTAGAACTGTATGTCGACGTCGCTTTGCCAGGGCGCGAACTTGAGGGTTGCCATCGTGAATGCGCTTGTGGGATATCTGTGTTGTTCGCAGTATGTGTAATATCGACGGTAGGAATACGATGAGAGAAGATTAGGGAGCAGACTTCATGGTCACAGGCAGTCGCAAGAAATGGGACACGTGAATAGGCACGCGTGACGGTAAGTGGCTGAGGCTATTGAAGCCCGTGGTACCTTCAGGCGCCGCTTCGTGGTCGCTGACCCCGCGCTATGTCGTCAGGCGGGGCGGCTAAACGCGTTCCTGCAGTCGCGCGACCACATGGCGCTAGCATGGAGCATCTCCCGTTCGAACCACGGCAGAACCACTGAACACCTATTCTGTCGTTTCTTTGGTCCTCATTGAGCCATGCTTGTTGGACTGTGCGGAGGCAAGACCCCAGTAAATCATAATTCTCCTCTCCTGACACCAACCAGGCATCTGCGCGGGCAAATCCTCGATAGCTTCGTACCTCGTTGAAGAGCACGGCTTCACGCGTATCCGCCTAGCACGTACGGCAGCAACGCCAGCGGTCGAGAAGTCGGCTTCTGATGCACACGTGCCTTCATCGGGGGGTCGCATAGACGAGCAGCATATCTTTTCGGACGTCGACACGCTACTTGACTTTGTCACGTTGAGATGGAAAGAGCGGTGGGTGACAACAGACATCTGGGGCCACGACACTGTCGATGCCTTGCTTCGAAGACCCTTCTTCCTCCTAGTGAGCGTCGACGCGCCGGTCAGTGTACGGTGGAAGCGATTTACGGACCGATGTGCTGCAAATCAGCTCACACCGCCAACGCTGGAAGAATTTGTCCTTCGCAACGACACGCACCTCTTTGCTCAAGGCACGGGGCTCAGTGCGCTATTTCAGAGAGCCCAACTGAAGCTGCTCAACTCCACAGCAACCATCTCGTCACTCCGCGATGCTATACGTTCGCTCGACCTTACGAATGAATCACGACTACGACCCAGCTGGGACCAATATTTCATGCAGCTGGCAGACTTGGCGGCACACAGGAGCAACTGCATGAAGAGAAGAGTGGGTTGCGTCATAGTGCGGGAGAAGAGGGTGGTCAGTACGGGATATAACGGAACACCCCGGGGCATGACGAACTGCAACGAAGGCGGATGTCCCCGCTGCAACAATGCCGCAAAGGGAGGTACGGGCCTCAACACGTGTCTATGCTTGCACGCGGAAGAAAACGCACTGCTTGAAGCGGGTCGCGATCGAATCGGTGGCAGCGCCACACTCTATTGCAACACCTGCCCTTGCTTGACCTGTAGTGTAAAGATCACCCAAGTCGGCATTAGCGAAGTCGTTTACAACCAAGGATACATGGTCGACACCATGACTGCAAAGATCTTCGCTGAAAGCGGCGTTCGTTTACGGCAGTTCTCTCCACCTACCGATGGCTTGGTAGACCTGTCAATTGGTGTGCCATCGGATAGGAATAAAGGGCACGAAACAGAAGATATTCGGGAAGTGCTAAATGATGACAGCTTCTTACGGCCGATCTGAGCCTTAAACTCACTTGATATGGAAGAAGGATTCATCAAACATAACGCTACACTCGTAGATATTATACACACTTCATCTTACGGCTTTCACCAAGTTTCCTAACATCTCCTTCTTCTTCCAAATCCACCTCCCATCATCCCGCCTCCACCACCCATGCGCCCAGGCCTCGACCTTCCGAATCCGCCTCCTCCCATGCTGCTCATTCCACCTCCTCCTTTCCTACCGCCTCCCATGCGTCCGCCTCCGCCGTGGTGGTGCACGACAGTTGTTGGTCTGGCACCGTAACCTCCTGCTCCGTAGCCGCCGCGATGGGACATTCTGGAGGGTCCGCAGCCCATTCTGTGATGTGGAGTCGAATGAAATTGAGGATGTTGTGATGTGTTGAGCGCTACTAGGGAGACCTTCTCCGATACTACGGGTTTTCGATTGGTATAAAGGTGTGTTCTTGAAGAGAGTGATAGGAACAATTATTGGGAAGTTTGGAGATAGACTCGGCTTATGCGTTTGGTATGAGGTCGAAAGTTTATTAGATTTTGAATGGACTTTTTTCATGCCCTGGTATGTCTACTTCAACTTTATATGCCACTGCTCACAAATATCCTCGCAAAGACCCGACGTCATCTCATCCTCCGCAAACTTCGACATGACATACGCCAGGCTTTCATTCCAAGCATCGCAAGATCGCCCAACGTTCTTTCCTCAAGGCCTAGATCCGTGATATCCAGACCCTGCATCTTGGCTCCAGCGGAGCGGAAAGCCGGGCCTGCACTGATAGGTCGCCGTCGCTTGGCTGCAACGTGGCGCAACTACAAAATGACGTTCGCCGTGTGGCGGTGATGTAGGGTGCTTGTGATTGTTAGGAAAGCGGATGTTCGGCAGGAGAGTTGACAACGATGCTCGAAACAAGGCACCCCTTCAGAGTCGGATTCTCGCATAGTTCCACAACTCCCATCTATCTTTGTCGCTCAGGTCTTCATCTTTTCCATTGATATGCGGGTTCCTTGCTTGCTGACGATCATACTCACTGAATTCCATCACATTGGCTATCAACACGAGTGCAGAGGTAATGAAGATCAATCTCAAGGGAATTCCGATCAGGTAAGAAGCGGATTCTTCGAGCATTCTGATTTCGAACATGACCTCCAATCCAATGGCCGCGATTGTAAAACAGTGGAACATAGATCCGCGGAATGCATGATACGGTGTGTGCAAAGTGAGCAAGGCGGTGCTTGCGGAGTAAACAGAACTCGCCTCTCGCTTTTCTCGCTGACGTGCAGGTGGAAGACCACGTGGGTGCGCATTCTAGTGTACGCGTGAAATGCAAGCGAAGGGCTCAGGATAACAGTCAGTATTTCCGATTTGTTGATGTGCGTCGCGTCTTGAGCCCAAAATCGCAGCCACGTCACGCGAATGGTGTTGTCGACCAGATCGCATACGACATCCGAATCACTATGTCTTGCCATGGCAGAAACCTAGGGAAGTCCATCCAACGGGGCGTACGATCGAAATTGCCAAAGAAATCCCCTTCAAAATTCCACACTGGGTCATCGTCTATATTACGGACTGGGGTCCTCGAACACATGGTTCAGCCAGCACTTGAACGGGTCCTGAAGTCTTGCGGTGCCGTACCTGGAACTGTATGCGAACGTGGCGGCAGCAACTTCTCGTCCCACTGCAGTATGAGCCAGAACATGCAAGTTGGTACCCAGACAAGAAGCTGCTCGCGCAGGATCGTTTGTCGTCCCCACAATCCTGGGAATGTCTTGGGGCCATCCTGCAGCTCTTGTATGATCGACTCACGGTAAACCTTTTCAGGTACTATTATGTCGTATACGCATCTGCAGTTGCAAAACTTCATCTTTGTTGTTTTGATGAAGAGTTAGAGAGAAAAGAACTGAACTATGAGTGCGCTTCCTGTATACGAAGCGAATTTGATGAACTGTGGTTGACGATTCGGGGCCAACGAAGCCCTTTTTTAAAATCTGATGGCGTGTCCTGAAGTAATACGCACATGGTTTTTTACCAACAAGTTTCTCCATCACGCTATTGTCGCAGTCTCGAAATATCAACATTCTCGCTTTCTTCTGACAACTATGAAAAACATGTCATACGAACCCATAGAAATTGTGCGCGGACTACAGAAGCAAATCGGAAAGTTCGTGCGTCTCTAGGGAAGGCTGTGCTTGTAATTGCTTCCATCACCTCACATACTGAGAATAGTTCAATACCGTGAAGTTGTTCAGGCATCATAATCATGCAATCCTCCCCATTTAGCGAAGAGATCAAACCCGACGATTTGTCAAATTCATCTGGACTAAAACGGGCCCTCAATCCGGAATACACAACTTCACGGCCACACCACCACCGCCACCACCACCCTCTCCATCCCCAAACCCATTCGTAATCACACCTTCCAGGCGACTACAACCAGCTCGAACATATATAGCGTTGTTTGTGACCACTGACGTAGCCACTCTATGCAATCATGGGTGCCGGTCACGATGATTGGCTGGCATTTCACTTGCCGTGTCATACCCGGGTTTAGTGTCATCGCTATACCTTCACCCCACACCAGATAAATTGGGTTAATCAAGAACAACACCAATCGACATGTTTTTCAGCCTCGTTGGCCGGGAAGGCGGGATGGGGAGTTGGGCCGCGGGTTGGGTCTGATGATCGTTGTTCGGGGATAGTAGGGAATGAGGGAGAGTAGTGGGATTGGAATGGAGTGTATATAAAGGCTGGAGGGAAGAGGTGTTGATACCAGCATCCTATTGCAAGTACCTCGCTACCAAGATGAAGACCTCTACCGTCCTCCTCGCTGCCGCATCCGTGGCCAGCGCTCACTGTACGACCAAGTTCTGAACAATCCTCGCGCAACATCACTGACCTCGTAGACACGCTCCCCATCGTCAACGGCGACAGCGCCTGGACACACGTCCGCCAAGCCAAGGTAAATCACTCTATCAGAACCCGTACATCTCATCCCTCCCTAATCCCCTCCCAGAACTGGCAGGACAACGGCTTCGTCGGCGACGTAACCAGCAGCGCCATCCGCTGCAACCAACTCAGTCCTGGAAAATCCACCCTCAGCGTCGCCGCGGGTTCCAGCGTAAAAGTCAACGTCAACCCCAACGCATACCATCCGGGCCCCTTCCAGTCCTATCTCGCAAAGATGCCGGACGGCCAGGATATCAACACCTGGGACCCCACGGGCGCAGTGTGGTTCCGCATTTATGCTGAGCAGCCCAAGTTTGGCTCGCAGTTGACGTGGTTGGGTGAGTTTTGATCTTACTCTCGTATCATAAGGTGTGGTGAGGTCTGACGTGTACAGCTGCGGCGAACTACGACATCAAGATCCCGAGCTGCATTGCGCCGGGAAAGTACTTGATGCGCAACGAGCATATCGCTATTCACAATGCTGGAACCAAGGGCGGTGCGCAGTTCTATCTGTCTTGCGCGCAGCTGGAGGTTACTGGAGGTGGCAGCACGGCGCCGAAGAATCTTGTGGCGTTTCCAGGGGCGTATAGTGCAACGGACCCAGGGATTTTGATTAATATCAACTACCCGATTCCGACAAGTTATAAGAATCCTGGGCCGGATACATTCACTTGCTAGACTTGGCTCTGGCGGAGTTGGTATGAAAGGGGTAGATCGATGGAGGGTTGGTGGTGCATAGCATACTTCCCTGTAGACACAATTGTGGATTAGTCAGTCCGGATATCGTGCTTCATTCATTTTGCAACTTCACCTGTCCTCCTAGGGATCATCGCTCATATCGAAAAATGGCTTGTTCTTCACACGTCTTCGTGTGGAATCTAGTAGTCCGATTTCTGCCGATCATCTGCATCACAAAGTCAGCATTTCCACAACAGATCCCACTGCAAGACATCCCAGCATCTATGCACATGAATGAAGAAATGACTTACAATTCGCCCCCATCGCCTTCCTCAGCTTCAACGTAACAGCCTCGACATCCAAATCCCTCCGATCCCCCGTCTGCACCTCCACCGCATACGTCCGAATAACCTGCTTGACCTGCCCAGACTGGAATGACATCTTGGCCTTGCGCATGACCTTTGTGTTGGGGCCTGATACAATACTTAGGTCCCGAGCGACACAGAGACGAGAGGAGTAAATGAAGTGGAAGTACATACCAGCCCAAACAACAAAAGCAAACTTGACCCTCTCGCTATACTCATCGTTTCCCAATTTCATCCGCACATACGCATACGCCGCCTCGTCGTCGGCCAGGCTCTCGGTCATCTCGGCGATGTCGCCAGTTCCTGTGCCTGCGAGCTTTAGGTTGTCGGATGTAGCTGATGCATACTAGCAATTCGAATCAGTCCGTGATGCCCTCCCCACTCTAATTTCGACCTGCATTGGAAGATCGATATCTTGGGGCTGCACAACGCACCTTCAACACAAGCCACGTGGTGTCGGATTTATCCGAGCGCACGTCTTCGTAGGCTTGATTGATGTCCGGGTCGGACAGGATGTCGGCTGCTTGAGGCATGTTTTTGTCTGATGGATAGAGAAGATGTGGGATGGATGGGATGCAGGGGTCAAGGATGCTGCGCAAGGGGGATGTCGATGCTGAAGAGGTTGGGATGGGAACGGTCTAGGGCTAGAGCTAGTGCGGGGCTAAAGATAGACCAATGGGGAAAGCGGGGTGCATTTGAGGCTGAGGCTGAGGCTGAACACCAGATCTCCAACCCTACAGTCAGGGGGAGGGTCAGATTCGAGCGCTGAGTTATATTGGTTTCACCAGGGACAAGTTTTGGGTCAGCAATGAACAGTAAATAAATCTTTTCGCTATCAATTCGCTTTCGTCGGCACACCGCCGTCTCGTGATCGCACTATTTTCCACTCCCTGCACTTCCACCTTCTTACTGTCCACCCATCTTTTCGTTTGTGCTCATCAAGCTGCCAATGAAGGTGGTAATCAACCTGCTCTGCACCGCAACGATATCCTCGGGCACCAGCCAGATCGTTGCACCCATCTTTCGTGCAATACTGATGGCCAGCTTGGCGTTCTGATAACACTCGTCCTCGTTGCGGCCAGGCGCAACGAGGTCGTAATCGACGTATGCAGGCTTCATGCCAGCCAGTACATCGAGCAGGTAAACAGAGTTTGTGAGCGACGAATCTTTGAAAGACCGGACCTGGCTGCCCTTGCCACCTTTCCGTGCCATGTCGTTCGCCCACTTGATCATGTCGGCATCGGTGATTTCGCGCTTTCCGAGGCGTTGTGCGAGTCCTTTGAGTGTTGAAACAATGTCCTTTCGCATCAGTTGCCAGACGAGACCGAGCGTCAGTGTGCGCTGTCCGTCGGTAATGTCGGCGCCTTGGATACCGGGTAATGAGAACTGAACCTGCTTTCCGAGCTCGACTGAGTAGTTGGTGTTCTCGAGCGCCTTGAAACGCATCAATTCTTGACCCTCCCTAGGCTTATTGACATGTCGCCAGTTCACGCTGCCTGGGATGACCTTGTCATATGCTTGGAGCAACACTAAGCCGTCCTTCAGGTCCTCGAAGAAGGATTGAACCACGGGCTTGACGTCGAGCGAGTTGAGCCATAGCGTAAACACACGAGCCTCACGCTCTCCTTCCGCATCGAAGTCTTCAATCTCAGCCTTCTCTTCCTCGGTGATAGGGTCGAGACAGGGGTGCGTGTTGAACAGGTTGGCGACGAAAGCAAGATTGAGCTTAGGGTTACCGGCTACAAGCGAGGTTGGGGTCAAAAATTTGCGGCAGTCGAGAGCGTCTGCATTTTGGAGAACCATCTCCGCGCGCTGAAGGAGATCATTCTGCTGCAGTGGTGCGCGTGAGCATGTCTCAGGCTTGAGCTGGTTGAGGAGCACAGTGTAGTTTTCTCCGTCCTTGACATCAGTCGAAAAGTTTGTCACGCTGTCGTCGTTAGTTCCATTCGATTTTCTAAAGCAATATACTCACGTTCTGTGCCACTTCGCGTTCTTCAGGTGGTAGTTGAACCAGCGCAACAGAATCTGCTCCGGAGGCAACCTCAGGAACTGTTCCAGAGTCTCGTCGTCTTCAAGCAGTCGGTACAATTCGGGGTGCAGCTTGATGTCAATCTTGCCCAGAAGACCTCTCCGGATGATTTGCCAGATGAGACCCAGGATTAGATGCTCCCGCACTTCGATGATGTCTCCGCTGCCAATATTTACGACTGAGCAACCAATACCTTTGGCCGACTCGATGACGATGTTGTTGTTCTCAGTGAAGTGGAAATTGTTCAGCTGCTTGATTTTCTTGCCGGGCCTGTTCAAGACACGCTCGTCGATGGTGTCCGGGACGCTGTCGTTGATGAGCTTAGAGAGCACGAGACCGTCCTTGCACTGGTCAAACATCTCAAAAGTGTCGGTAGGGAACGGCAGGCGGTTGCCAATGTCTGGGTCACCGGCCAGGACCGCGTTGATGTGGCGCGTGAACTCGGTGCGCTCATCTTCGTTGATGGTGTGGGTGACGTTGGCGGACGAGCCCTGGACCTGGATCCTGCCTCCTCCGCTGCCGATGCTGGGCTTTTGGGCGTGTCCTGGCTGTCCAGGTGTGGGAGGCGCGCTGCCGGTGCCCCCGGTACCGGCTCGAGGGCGGGTCGGTCCAGTGTGCATGCGCTGCTGGGCGGGGGAAGACTCGCGCAATTTGGAGATGAGCTGCTGCTGTCAGTCGCTCTTTCTGTACAGGCCGGAGAACTGCTGCGCTCACATCTACATAGTCGTCCAGCTCTACACGCCGTGAGCTGTCCAGCTCTACCTCTTTCAGCGCCTGGCGGACCACATCGTACGGCTGGTGCTCCGTCTGCTGCGTTGCCTTGATCACCGTCGCCTCGTCGAGATAGCCCTTGTCGTCAACGTCGAGCTTGCGGAAAGCATCCTGCAGGCCAAAGATCTCGCCCTGCTGGAATTGGGGGTATTTCCTGTGCGCAAAGCATTGTTAGCCGTCATGGAAGCACACGGAGTCGCATGGAAGACGCGGACAACCTACTTCTGCAGCTTGATGATATTCATGGCGGCTGTTTGGGGTGGATGTGCAGAGAGATGGGGTCAAGCAAGACTGTGATAACTGCGGCAAAGTTTCTGCCTGGCTCAGCCTCGTCTTGTGTTGCGCGTTCGTCGGGCACTTCACCTGTCTGGCTTACCCTGATGACGTGGGGCGCACTACCGCCAAGTCGGGCTGCTTCGAGGGGCAGCAGCCGCTCGCAAGCTGCTTGCGACCTGATTACGTACGCACTACCTGTCGATGACTTGCATAGGGCTACAGAAAGTACCACCGCATTTCTACCTGATACCGGCTGTGCACGATTGTCTCACACTACCTTTCATATACAGCAATTTTGCTTGCAAAGTTCCGTTTTGTATGCTGCTGCCTTATCCGAACGTCCGACCTTACCAAGGATTCCCTTCTTTGGGCATCCAAGTCGCAGTCTGTGCTTGCCACTTCACTGACACAGCATGGGCCATGTGGCGAGCACACATCACAACATGGCATGGAAAGCACGAGCTGAAAAAAGCTTTTGATTCCTTCATTATCTTCATAATGCTCTTCATGAAGTACATCCCTGGAAATAAACACTAACCCCTTTCTCGTCATTTCAAAATGATACTCGGCGTGGCCCAGCAGCCTAGCCATTTTTTTGTTGCAGCCCGCTGGAGCCACCCAACGCGAAATAATATAAAACGTGCTGTGACCATGGTACTCGCAAAAAGCAAACATTGTCGTTGCGCATGAGTATCCGTCTCGTTCGTTTGCGCCTTCGTTTTCGTCAAGCAGTCATGTCGAGGTAGGGGATACTATGATTGTAGTGCAGGTGAACATGTGGTACCCACAGCCCGAGGTGGCGGCGGCCCGAAGATCGAATGAGTGTACAAGATTGCGGCTCGTCCACAGTGGTAGCAGAGACCAGCAGAACCTGCACATGCTTACGCGGCATGAAGGAGTCGTATGTCGTGAGAATGAAAGGTGTAGGGTCGGCCGAAATAGCGAATCCGAGAAGCAGAAAGTCATAAGGTCGTAACATGCCAGAGTCCTTGGTTGTAAAACGAACAGAGGGAATAGGAAAAGAGTAGACACAAGGAAATTGCCCAAGCTGGTGTAGGGCTGTATGTTGCTCGTCTGATTTGGTTCGAGTTCGAGACATGGCAAGCGCCATGAAGGGCGGTGCGGTGGTAGACTTGATCGTGCTCCACAAAAACGCAAGCTTGATGCTGTATCAAATCAAAGTAAATGGCGTTTTCACCTCCTGGCTCGCTGTGCAGTCATGGTGTGTGCACGCTGGAGGCCGGGAGTGGGGTCCTGAGCATAAGCGCCGCCGACAGCACCACCCTCCATAGTTTTTCGCCTCTTGAGGCCGCCCATATCATCGCTCTGTACGCTGTCAGGGCGGTATGGGTCTTCGTCGTCATCGTCACGACCACGCTTTGCGTTGCCGTTTGCTGGGGGGTATCCTTGGCTCGCATATTGTGGCACAGCACCCGGGCCGGGATATGCATCATGGGGAGCGTTGCCGTTGGGGGCTCCTCGGGGGTCACTCATCACGTTGTAAAGATTGCTAGACGGTGGTCCTTGTCGCTGGGGAGTCGGGTACCCACTATTCCACTGTGTCTGGCTAGTCGTTGTTGTCCGGGGAGTGGCGCGACCCGAACCGTTCTGGTGTGGGGAGCCATTCATTTCTGGAGACATATGGGGATGCTCAGGGTGAAGACCTCCAGCATTGCCATTAGAGGCGTAACCGTATGGGCCACGGCTGCCATTGTACGATGCAGTCGAATGCGTGTATTCGTTGTCATGCTCGTGGTCTCCCTCGGGTCCTGGCGCAGGAGCAACAACTTGGCTGTTGCCCTGAGGCATCATACCTTCGCTATGCTTGACATCACCTTCCTCAGAAACGTCTGCTAGGCGCGATGGTGGTGCCATCTCAGTCTTGGTATATCCGCTGTCTGGGCGGTATCCCATCATGGACTGCCCTTGGGTGTTGTACTGCCCAGGCTGAGAGGGTGGGCCAGAGTACATTGGTCTTGAATTGTCGTAGCTCTGGTTCGAGCCATATGAAATAGCCTGCTGAACTGCGCCGGGAGGTGTGGTGGCTGGAGTAGTTGGCACAGAGCGCGTGTTGCTGAGCCCTGTATCAATAGAGAGCGGCTGGCTACCTTGCGGTGTCTGAACGTTGGCCCCACTCCACTCGTATGAGCTGCCCGAATTACTCATACCCATGATGCTTGAGGCACTGGTAGGAGGAGTAGGGAATGTATGTGCTCGGTCAAGGCCAGGACGTCCGGCTGACGGGTGAGGCTGGAGGGCATGAGGTGCTTGCGACATGGGAGCACCAATGGGGTTGCTCATCGAATGATGATGATGCAGCGACGGAGGCTGGGATGTTGTTGGCCCAGAGATGTATCGCTGAGTCTGCATAGAGTCAGGTCTCCTGCGGTCTACAGCGGCCATGGCAGCGCTCCCTACACTTGCCCTCGTTTGGTTCGAGGGATGATAGAGCAGAGCCCCAATATCATGGACGAATAGCGGGTATAGTTGCTCAGTGATCTTTTCTTTGTTTGCAAACTCTAGCGCACGCTCAAATGGGATCCTGCGCCGTGTTAGCCGTGCGATAATCCCGTGAATCTATGTTGTCTTACCAGACACCCTTCAAGTGCATCGGACCAATCTTCACGACATGTCGTGTCTTTTCACTCTTAAGAATACCGTCTCTGCGGCCACGAGTCATGCCAGCAACATTAAGCAGTTTTGTGCCATTGATCATGTGATTGTCTAGGAGAAAATTAGTCATTGTCTTGGTGGGTTGCAAGTAATACATACCTTCGCGGCGTGCGACACATACTCCCTTGGCTTCGACCTGGAAACACAGGCTGCCCTCATCCTCCCACAATGTTGCGGTGACACGAGGCTTCATTCCTGGTGGAGCGACCTGCCCGGTGTGGTCGAATGAATGGGGCGCGTAGCTCTGTGCACCAGAAAGTGATGGGCTTGGGCCGCTCGAGGACATTGCCGGCAGTTGTAGTGTAGAGGGTACCATCGCATTGTTCATTGAAGAAGACGCGGGTAGCCCAGAGGGCACGCCGTTTGAGTAGCCATAAGAAGGGTAACCAGGAGGGGTAGGGCCGTATTGGTGTTGTCCGGGCTGCATCATCGATGACTGCGGCGGATACGCATAGTGCGAGATTCCCGAGGGGGCCGCTGAAGCTGGCGCGTGAGCGGTTGCGGCAGACATATGAGGCGGATGCACGTCAGCATACGATTGCATCTGGTTCATGCTGCTGTAAGACCCTGGTGGGTAGCCGTAGCTGTCCTGAGTTCCGTAGGGAGAGCTTTGGTGCGACTGCGCGTGTGAAGAGCGGTTGTCACGGTTTAAAGAGGGTACGCTCTGCTCGGGAGAGGGTGTCTTGAAGCCTGCGGTCTGGCCGTTGATCGATGCAGCGTAGGACGTGTGCGAACTCGCGCTCCCGTGGGAAGCGGAACTGAAAGAGTCGCCTCGCGGTGACGAAGAATTGGACGAGCCGCTCGCGTGCGATTGGATCTGAGGAAGGGTTGGCGGTCTCTCACTTGATGCGGCAGACTTGGGCGCGTAGTGAGAGTTGTACCAGGTATCGACGGGGTCGCGGGCGTGGACCGAAGAGATCGATGGCAGCTCCAGCTTTACGGTATTGCGTGGGTAATGCCGAAGCAGGTGATGGCAACGGGCACGAGAAAGTCCGTGGGGATTTTCTCGAGTATATACACCAGATAGCCGAGCGTATTGGTGTGCAGAAATGTGCAAACGATGCTCTACAACAGCAGAGTGCAGGATCTGAGCACGCAACCGGGAGGTTGATAAGACGCGAGGTTATAGCTTGCCGCAGACCGTTGATGGGGCGGATACCTTCACCGCCAGTCAGTTTTGTTTGCTTCTTAAGAGCTCGGAAGAGTGCAGTGCGGGCCAACGAAACGCGGGCAAACACGTATGCAAACAGCCTCAACCTGCCGTGTCGAGACGAGTTGAGCGCTCGAGGACTCCCGAAGTGTTTGAGGACAGGAATTGCGTGGCAGGTATTTGTGTGTTGGGCACGCGTAAGATGAGCAAGTGGTGAGAGACTGACCAAGGTGTTTCTTGAAGCGGGCGAGAGCGGTCTAAGGCTCGAGGCGCAAATGAAGCTGCTGAAGAAAGGCAAACACTGCAAACAATGCTGAATTCCAAAAAGCACGTCGTTACGTCGTTGCGGTCGTGAGGCAGTTGAAAGCCGGGTGTCGACACTGCTTTTGAGGCTCGGTTCAAACACGCAATAGGACTAATTGACACAGGCCGGCCAGGAAGAATAACAGACAGTAGGTACAGCTGCCAAAAACATGCGCTGTCTAAATTGCGGCTGGTTGCGTCGTCGTGAACAGTCGTAAAGTCGTTGCGCTCGTCTGCTGCGGGCCGAGCAGTATCGATAGTGAATACTGCGGCACCGACGAATAGACTACGCGGTTCACGCGTCAGTAGGTGCTTGTGCAAGGCAGAGTAACAATGACATGGACAAGGGATGCGCCTCCGCCAGTCTGTAGGTGACGAGTTGAAAAGCCAACGTGCGGCTCAGGCAGACTGTGGTGGGAAGGCGGAGGTATACAGGTGGAGAGAGGTTGGGACTGGTCGTGATGGATACCCAGCAGCTTGCTGGACCAACCAAAGCAGCCACAGATAGCCGAGCACGGGAAACAGTGGTCGAGGCCGCGCTGGCTGCGCTATTGACGACCGTACAATATGAAGAAGCGTAAGACGGACTCACCCAATTGCTCAAACGAACGGACGCAAAAAGCACGATACTCACAGCGGAACCTGGAGTTTGGCTGAGGTGTGGAGAAGGGAAGTCGTTCTCGTCGGCGATGCTGCAGAGAATCCTGCACGCTCGACAGCAGGCAAGCCGCAGCTAAGAGGGCTGACCACACAGGCGAGGCGCGCACGTCCCCCAGTGCAATCCGTCCGAGATGGCCGCTTTTTTTGCAGACGGCGTGTCCAATGCTTCTCTACACTGTCAGTGCGCAGTGCGTGGGCGTTGCTGGCAACTTGATCCGCGAGACGAGCCAGCTGCTGCTGCGAGGCGGGCCGGCGCGACTTTGCAGCAACGGCTTCTTGGACTGGTAATGCAGCAGAGATGAAGCCGCAGCGATGCACAGCCAGAGACGGGTGCGTGGAAGATGCAGGCGCTGGAGGTAGGTCGCTGTACCTAGAGACGGATGGTGGAGATCTTCTGGGGACGCTCACCAGCGCACACCCACGAGCGGCCGCGAGCACACAATCTAAATTCACTTCGGGCTTGGTGTGGAGCGTGAGCGCAGGATGAGCATGGGGGTGGACCGGCCTGCGCTCCCAGCCTGGACCGAGCGAGAGTCCCGTGAAGAACAAGCCGTTTCGCGCGCTGAGGGCACAGACCGAGCCAGGAAGCTTGCTGACTGGGCTGATCCCGTCGTCGGTGCGGCAGACAAGGGCTATGGATGGGGACAGGCTGTCGACAGGGACAGGCCCCCTTGGGGGCTATACAGGACAGCGAGCTATGCACGCAAGCGAGCCCACGACTCCACTGCCAGCCACCTGACGCCAGAGCCTACGCCCGCACGACGGCATCAGGGCACAGCAGATCAGATGGCCTGTCAATTTGCTCCTCTGGAACACGACAAGAGGGGTGCAGAAACGGCGGGTGGCTTTGCTATTTTCGTGGCCGCTCACCACCCTTCTCGTCTCTCCAAGGATGAGCTCACGACGACCGGGGTTGAACGTCCAGACTTAGCGGGCGCCTATTTTTCTACACAGTGTGCCGCGACCTGAAGCATGGGCTGGGGCCTCGATATGGATAAGACGGCTGAAATCGAATGGCCAGTGAACGTTGCCGGAGATATTCGATGCAGCACGGACAAACCTTGTCAATTGATACGGAACGGCCTGCAGAGAGGCGTTCGTCCTTATTAAGCTACGCCGGGCAAAGTTGTTGCGGATGCCGATGAGCACAAGCAGCAAGCAAGCGTGCATCCCAGCGAGCGATCGGAGTGCTTACAGACCCTGCCAACATCTGGCTCCTGCCCACGGCCGGGCTGCTCGTACTGCTGAGTGGTCCGGCAGACGCGATGATGTGCACCGCCGCTGCGAGTCAGAGCCGTGGTGGTGAATACCAACGAAAAAGCAGAGGCATGTTCGGCATAGCCAACCAGCCCACGTCTGCCCTGAAACGCAAGGCCATCTGCCGCGGCGTTGCTATCTTCTGAGGCGAGGATGCTCGTCATCTTTTCCGCATTCAATACGGGCCTCAATGAATTGGGGCAGGGCCAGCTGCGAACTCAAACGAGCCAGGAGCTGTCTGAGCACCGCGAGCGATGTCCTGCTCAGGCTAAATGCCTGCGATCCAACACTCACAGGGATAGAGGGAGCCCGAGAGTGTGCGGAAGAATCGGACGGCAAGCCGTGCAGCCAACGCGATTTGCTGGGCATGGCGCAGAGGCGTCGTGGTTGGACGGATAGTCGTCGCTATCCGGCCACCTGGGGAGAGCTGCTGCGCCCGGACAGCCCAGCGTCTACCTCGTCCACGCGAGTCAACATATCTTGAGAGGCGTTCCAGATGTGAAGCGAGCGATGCTAGAGGGGGAGCATGTGCAACGTGGAGACTCGAGAGTGTACGACGCTCATGTCATGTCAGCGGGGTTCGCAACGATGTGCCAGATGAGACACACCCTCAGGCGAGTGTGAGGGCCGCCTCGTCGTCCATCTCCAATTACACAGGCTGCTGAGCTCCATCCAGAGTGAATTCGCTCGACAAACGTGCCGACTGTACCACGACCTTGGGGTTGGATGTGGATGCCGCCATGCATGATAGGACAGCAGCTAGTTGCGGTGTGAGTGATGCGCTGGCGCCGCTAATCTAGACATGCGCTAGCCGCATGCGGCCTGGCCAAGCTCAGGTCACGCTTTCCTGCGTCGCCCTCAACAGCCACCCGCACTCACACGCAACTGTGCTTCAACATCCATTGTCGTGTCTCGCCCTCGGAATCCAATGATTCCAGTACCTTGGGATGACCGTAGTGCAAGGTCACCAAGCCCATTTGTTCCGGGCAGCTGAAACACGCCGCGCGCACAGCGCAACATGGGCAGCCGCCGCAGTCGCTCGCCTTTCTTGTCGTGAGAGCCGATTTCAGCGGGAATGCTGCTGATCACGGGACTCGCTGCACGGCCCACGGGACAGTCCGGACAGTCCATGCGCCTCCCATGCGAACGATGGCAGCCTCACGTCTGTTCAGATGAGATGCCAGCCACATGCCTGTTGCTCGCCTAGATACCAGCTCGCCGCTGCAAGCGCCAAACCAACTGTTCGCATCCCATTCGACCCAGCCATCTTGGTTACGTCTTTCAACGTCCACTCCCTTCACTGCACCCTCGTCGTGACGACGTGGCGACAAGCCTGCCTTGGCCACATAATTTGCCTCTGTGTGACCACTGACGGCAAAGGATGGTGATCTGGCCGTATCTCCAGTCGATCATGTCAATATCGAAAGATCAGCGAGGCGTCACTGCCAGGTCTCCCTTGAAAGCCCAGTGTCACAAAGGGTACGGGCACAATACAATCGTGCACACCAAGGGCACTGTTGGACGCCCCGCAGGCTGCAAGCGATGTATACAGTGTCACCATGTGCAAGTCTACGCTCAACTGCTGTGCCAGAAAAAGTACATCCAGCAAGGTCGGTATTACCGTTGCCGCGTGCGCTGAGGTGTCTAGGAATATGCACAGGTGGAAATAAACGTGCAGCGCAGCCGGCGCGATGTGGGTGCGGATCGTGGAGAAAGGCCCGCACCCGTCTGCCATGTTACTTGCTGACCACCATGGAGAAAGGGCTCAGGAGCATACATCAGCACTTTCAAATTAGATGGAATTGCTGACCGGTGCGGGCTGTCTCAGTGAGACCAACTATGCGCATGACGACACTCTTTTCTCAGCTATCGGACGACAGGCTCTCCGAGGGCAGACCCTACGGCATCAGCCTTTGCTCCTCGAGCACATAATTTTCGCAAAGTGACCACGCAGTGGGGCTTGTGCACACTCTGTTCAACACAAAGGGAAGACCAGTCTAGAATTGGAATCCTTGGACAGAGCCGATCCGCACTGTATCCGGAACCGGACATTGATCTTGGTGGATCCTTTAGCAGGCTATTCTGCTGTCCGAATGGAGCATTAGGGACATTGGAGCAGGGCAATCTGATTTCCAGAATGTCGACGTCGACCTCCAGGAAGCCTCCGTCTGCTGCATTCCATACGTAAGCGTTCCTGCAGCTGTGAGGCAATCCCGCGATACGACGAGCTCGGGAGCAGTGCCACCAGTCTATTGGCTGGGTTTCATCTGCACTTACCCGCGCTTGCATATGCGTGTGACATAGGGTGTCCCCGCCAGCCCGTCAAGCTCGAGCCCTCCTGTGTCGACTTGATTTCAAGCTTGACCTGAGGCTGTTGCAAGAGGGTCATTCTGCATGGTCTTCGCACAACTGTCGCTTCTGAGGTGCTACAGATGTTGGATCTAACTGACCCTAAGCCTCGTCTCGACCAGCCCTTTCAGCGTCCAGTTTTCAGAGAAGGATAACCAGCTCCGCATGCCCCGGCGGATCAGTCAGATAGGCGTGCCGCTGCGAATCAACGCCGGCCACGTCAGGAGCCAGCGGAGCCCGTTATCGGGTCTTGAGATGGGGCACGCAAGCCACGGCCGCTCCTTGCATCCCCAAAACAGCTCGTGGGATTTCGACATAGGATCTGTGATTGGCGCGTGGGCCAGGACCCATGGCGGCGTTCACCGGTCGTGCCCACAGGCTTTTGCCCCACTGACTTGTCATCTCACCTCACGCTCAGTGGTTGACTCGCTTTCCTGCTGCATTCTCTAGCGTCGTTTGCATGAACCCCAGATGCTCTTCAATGGCCTCAACAAAGCTCCAGTGACAACAGTCGAAGTGAGGGGGTCTTCTCCGGTTGAGACTTCCTGTCTATTCTCCCGTCCACACGCGATCCTCCCCACGTTGGAAGCTCTGGTTCCTCACCGCTACTCTATTCTTGCTCGCCCAGCATTAGAACCATGGAACCATCATACGATCTGGTTGGTAGGGATGTAGCAATCTATGCTTTCCATGGCGCACTCGGGTGGAGTAAGGCCACCCACTACGCCGTCTGCCTGCAGCTCCCTCAGCAATGAAGCTTTGGCTGTCGCAAAGTACCGGCAGGATATGACCTGTGCAGAGGTACCAATGATGTTTACCCAAAAGCAAGACTTCAAATACGCTTATCGGCGTCCGCTGCCATGCAGCATCTCAATGGCGCCCACAAGCAGGTGGCCATCTCGCAGCCAGCAGCAGAGCCGCTGCTCGCCGGCACGGTACGGCATTCGCTTCCAGCTCCGCATGCTACTGTGTACGCACGACATACGTACTTGCATACTTTGCGTGTGGCCGTTGTTACATCAGGGTACACTGCAGACCAGCCATATGGCGTGAAGCGATATTATGTAGCCAGACCCACGCCCAGCAGCGCTTTCTGCCAGGATCATGTTCGCTGTAGAGTAGTCTTAGTGGTCCGGATCTGCATTGGGCAGGTCCTTCATGCAAACATACGTTCTAAGGAAGGTCTCAGCGCAGATATATTGACCCTCGGTTAAGATGCTGAGCTTGAGCCGCAGCACTGCAGCACTTTTGCCTACCACCAACACGTCAAGATCTCCAGAGCCCAGACCTCTGGATCGCGATGACCCAGCAGGCGACTGCGGAAACGCGGCTGAAGGCACAAGACTGCACATCGTGGACAGACAATCAGTCATGGGCCATAGTGGTGTAACAGCTTCTTTGGCTTATTCAACACTGCCTCGCGACTATAAGCGATTAGGCGAATGTCACAGCTAAACTTTCAACACTATCCAATTAATCGAAATGCCCCATCTAGATTTACTGGCCACTTCGCTCTTCCTATACACAGACCATGTGGCATCCGACGAGATGGTAGCGGGCGGCCGGATAAAGCGCATTCAAGTTCAACCGATTGAACGCGGTCAATATGGAAACTCAATCGTCCGACCGAGTCGATGCAGGATCGTCTCCCGTGCATCTCTCAGACCATTCCACTAGGTATTTGGCAGCACCGAGGAAATCTCATGCCATGCCAAGTTATCGTTTCAGCGATTGCCCGTGTTCGCGCCCATACGACCGGACTACGTACCCGATACAATATACTATGACGCCCATCATCACGCTATCTTTACTAACGCCGAAACCTTTACTAACATTTGCACATGCGTCAACTATGGTTCGATCGTATGCGCACAGCCGGCTCCACCGCTCGGACAGGAACGTGCTCGACCAGCCATCCTTGAGGTGGTTGGGGACGGCGGCTGGGAAAGGATAGAAAGAAAATCTCTGCAGGGCGGGCCGAAGGAAACCGTGCATGAACGGCAGGACCATACTGGTATAGTCGAGGTTCAATTGAGATTGACGATGTGTCGCCGGCTATTATTGGCATAGATGTGGTGTAGTGTACCTCTATTCGATGCTTCGGCTCCTCTACCGTGACAGCTCTCGCGGTTGTGCATCATCATCACAACACTACAACTGCCTAGATCGACCTCGTGGTGCTCTTACACGTGTTTGAAACACTGAGCGTGGAGGCCTAGCGTACTCCAACCCAACGGGCGCGCAGTAGTCTGTACCAGACTTTGTCGTCTCGAGGCTTGCGAGGCCGACTTGATGACGCGCTGAAAGATCCAACGAACCATAAAACTCCAAGTACGCAATCACCTTCCTGAACCGTTTCGACGCTGTCGTTCGGAGCGGTCGAAACACTCTGTTGCCCCTAAAACAATGCCTCACAACTGTCATCCGTCCCGCAAGTGAAACGCGTCAAAAACAATCCTCACCTCGGCACTTTTGCCAGGAACACCAGTTCGCAGCATGCAAGGTACCGCGCAACTTCCAAACGCAATGTGTCTCAGAATACAAACCCTTTTTCCCTCACTCCCCCGCAAAGACCGAACCGGCCAAACCTGCCGAGTAATGTACATGCGTTTTTCTGCATGTTTGACATGAGATGTTTGTGCGCCTGCGCACGCCCTTGACCCTGCGCCGCATCGCACCGCACCGCACCGCAGCGGCTGCATGCATTGTCTCAGCGCACTCGCGTTTTGCCACGAGAGAGCGTGCGTGCGCCGACAAGGCTGTCCGAGTGTACGTGTTGGTGGAGTGGAGAAATACAGGAAATTATGCCACTCCATAAGGCCGATGCGTTACTTTTCTTCTTCGCTTTCGCTCCGCGCACAGCCGCCAGGATTCATGCTCGAGGTGAGCAAACGTATCCGGTGCGCCTTTTTTTTCAGTCCGCTGGTTCCGGAGGGATATTGGATGGTGGCGCGGCTGTAGGGGGACGGAGACCGAAAGGGAATGTGCGTCCGCTGGCTGGAAACATGGGATGGAGTTGGATGTACGACGGCCCGATATCTGAGTTTATTGCATGTCGGATTGGTAAGTGATAGACAGGTAGTGTGTTACAGGATTAAAGACTGTCCGGGTGATTACTTCCTGTAGCAGAGTAGGTCGGGTTGATGGAGTTTGGCTGGACGGCGAGGACGAATGTGAAGGATGGCTGAGGAATTCACATACACTAGGATCGAGGTGGTGTTTTCACGCCGACTGTCATCGGCCCTTCTATAAACGGCAATTGTCTTGATTCATCTTATTTGTTATGTATATGTCGACTTACATCAGCCCTTACAACCTTCTCAATACACCCGACGAATGATAAGTGTCTGCATCAGGCATACTCGTCCAATCCACGATTGACAGAGACAATCTTACATGCAGCCTCAAGGCCGTACCCCGCTGTAACATCGTACGTTTAATGTGGATTTCAGCCTCATGACCAGGTGCCACATTATCTTTACCTCGGTCTTGGTGTATGGAGAACCAACAGCTATCCTTGTGCTTGTATCTCATGCACCTAGTCGAGTACCACGTCTTTGTGGATAGTTTTTTCTCTTCAAACAACCCATCGTCTCGAGTATGGCGAATCATAGCTATGGTTTACGTTATCTCTTCCCTGATATTATCAATGTCTAGGGCTGAGCTGTGGAAGTTCTGCCACGATGAGACGACAGCGTCTTCCTGTGGGCTCCTTACATTGAGACCAGGGCTCTTGATGTGACTGATCTTCACTTCTTTCTTATCTGCCATGGCACATCTTGCCCGTCATGTTCAGTTCATTCGTGTAGCGCCAGTGTTTCGGGCAAAGAGAATATGCTGTCTAGTATGACCATACTACACAAAGTTGAGATAGCAGTAACTGAGTATCCCGGGAAAATGACTCCTATCGTGAACTCAAGATACCTTTAGAAGTACTCATGCTAGATTTGTAGTAAATTTCATGGTAATGTGTCCTGAAAGTATAACTCAGCTCCTCTAAAAAATTCTTTACACATGCTGCATCGCAGGGACCTTATTTTGGGTTTGAAGATACTGCAACATCAATCCAAAAATTCAACCTCCACCCTCACGAGCTCACGGATTCTTTTTCTACACCTCTGAGCGAATCATCGGTATTCCTCTACGTATCTTGTGGATATGTGCTAAGATACACGTTGATTGCTTGTCTCAAATTGGATTCTTCTACAATATAGCTACTTTGCTTATAATAAAAAAGTTATAGGGGCATCAATGACACCATCGATTCTGTGTACAATAAATAGGGATTGTAACAATAGAGCATTGAACATGTCACCAGCACCACGATGTCTCTAAACAAAAGGGCCAGCCTGTAATACACACAAATGAACGAAAAAAAAACACCTGATCCGCAAAGAATGTCGTAATAAATCCAATTACAACCCATTTCCCAGACTAACTAACTTTCGCTGACGCAAAAAACCATGTCATATACTCATATCCCCAATCCGTATCAATATTCATACAAAGCCCACCAAAAAAAGCTCCCGACTCGCATTCATTACAATACCTGGTCCTGCTACTGCGTAACCGCCCTCAAGCCCTGCAACACCAACCCAAACATAACCCCCCTCGCAACCCTCTCTTCCTGCAAACAATCAAACACCCGTCCCACCGCCTCCCCACTCGCCGCCTGCCCCATGACGCTCGTCAACGCACTCGGCATGCCCCTCTCCACCACCAACTTCCTCGCCTTGACCCGCAACTTCTCCTTCTCCTCCTCGCCCATCTCGTCCGGCCAGGTCTTCAATTCCTCCTCGGTGGGCAGCCCGTTCTCGCGCATCTTGCGGATGTGGTACGCCAGCCCCGCGTCGGAGAGATTGGCGTCGAGCGCGGTGGTTTGGAGCAGCGAGGTTATAGATGAGAGTTGTGGGTTTCCGGGGCGTAGGAGGAAGGTTTTTGCGGCGTTGAGGAGGGTGCGGCGGAGGGTCCAGGCGGAGGAGAGGGTGTAGAGTTCGTTGATGACGGCGAAGAAGAGTTCGATTAGCACCGTGGTTTCGGTTTCGGTGAGGGGGGTATGCTGCTTGGGCTTTGTGGGGGATGTTGTTGGGGCTGGGAGCTTGGATGTGGAGGGTGTGAGTGAAGTGGCCGATGGGCGGCGGGGAAGTGGTGGGATGGTTTCGTTGGGTTGGGAGGAGGATGTTGTGGATGCACGCGAGGGGTTGCGGGCGTGTATCGCAGCTTCAACAGGTGGAGTTTTGGATGTCGAGTAGTCGTCAGTTATCTCGCTGGGCATTGGTGGGAGATTCATGAGTTGATCGCCGCCCATGACGGGGCTGAGATCGAAGCTCTCCCTGACACTCGGTGCGCGGCTGTTGCTGCGCGAGCCGAGTCTTGAAGACATGCCAGATCGTTTGCCGTCGCCGTCAGGATTGTATGATGGCCTGCGCTCCATGGGCGCCTCCCGCTGCGGTTGCTGATCGATGACCGGAGACCTGGCTGAATCGATTGACGTGCGCTTTGTGGCCAGTGACAGCGAACTCTCAGTACGAATGTGCGTCGGCAACTCCGAGACTGTAGACTCAGCTCGGTTGTGTCGATTCTGTATAGGCGCCGAATTGCTCGTTGTGCGACTCAAGCTCGGCCTACTATCGTCGGGTGGTGTGCTCACATTGCTAGCACTCGTGATGGTATCGCGGTGCTTCTTCGACCCTGACAGTGGTGTTGCAATGCTGCCCAGAACGCCAGTGACTCCTCCGAAGAGAGCTTTGCCGCCTCCTGCGACCTCCTTGGGCGCCTTGGTCATGACATCGATCATGCCTTTACCCATGGTGTCGAAGGTCTGACCTGCCCAACCAATGCCAGGGAAGCCGCCGCCACTGGGTGTTTTACCCGAGCCCAACTCTTTTTCCAGGAAGCGTTTCATTCCTTCACTTTCGGCCAGGGGCTTGTACTTGACTGCATCGTTCAGATACCTCTCGAGCTCTCCTCGGAGTGAAGCCTTCGTGTGACCCTTCCATGGTGGTAGAATCTTATGTGCTTCCGTGAAACCCGTGGTGCCCGTAATGGCCGCAATACGTCGAATAACTTCGTGCAGAGTCTCGAACTCGGTGTACTTGCGAGCAGTCATCCATCCAGAATGATGATGAGATTTTGGCTCTATTTGTATAAGATACTCGGTGGTTGGTCGGTTCTTGATAGTTCCCTTCTCGTTTGGCATACTATCATCGAAAATGGACATTGTCGCGTTGTGAAGTGTGAGAGGTGGTGGGGTCTCTACTGCAGCCGGGTTACTCTGAAGAGCGGTCGGAGGGTTGTTGGGCACGAGCTGATCAAAGCTCGTGAACGCTCTTTTGACTTCCTGTTTCTGTGTTTCGTCCACTGCCTGCGGAGGTGATGCAGGGGCGACTTCTGAGAACGATCGTGCGGACAAGCCTGAGATGCCCAAGTCGTGGAGTTCCGACTCTGCCGGCGTTTCGCTCTGTGAAGAAGTGGGTGTCACGATTCCCTGGGTAGTGCTCTCGGATTGATCGTCGTTGAGCGTGGATGTAGATGTGCTGTGTCGCTGCTGCTCCTTCAAGCGCTTCGCATCCTCTTCGGCAATCATCTGGCTCAAACGTTGCGCCTCTTGCATGGCTTCGTCCATTGCATCTTGCGCCCTGCTCACAACTCGCTTGTGTTCTCTTCGCTCTGGCGAGTTGACCTCATCAGACGATCTCGCCTGGCGCTCTGCACGAGCTTTGGCGTTCTGCAGCTTCTGAGTCGATCCTTCGACGCCCGCATCGATGGCATTCATGAGCTCAGGCTCTCCGTCCTCGAGTGAATACACGATCCAGCCGTTGATCCACTCAGCCTTTGAGCACGTCTTGACTATCATCTCCAAGATGAGCTTGGCAAATATTTGATGCAGAAAGATCCGTGCCGGAACGCAGTTGTATGTCTTGTGCTCCAGATAGTTCTGCAAAACGTCTTCAGTCGCCATGCTGAACTGCTTCGCCTGGTATGCAGGGTCAAGCATGCTCGCCAGCTGACTGTCTCTCTTCATCTTGAGATATATGTCAACCGCTTCTGATGGAGCGTCCCCTGGCGATGCCATGACTGCTGTCGAGAGCTCTTGCAGCAGTATAATCATGAACGAAGACGACCGCGTCACAAAATCAACAAAGTTGTCGGCTGGTCGCTTGCGGGACAGGTGGTTTGATACAGACAGAACGAAAGCAGTCAGGGTCTGGCGACACGAGTCGGGAAAAGATTCTTCGAAGGGCAAGACTGGAGCGTACCACCATCTGCGCTCGATTAGAAACGTCTACATAGGATGCGCTGAGGACATACTTGACATAGTCGCGTATCACGGCATCCGTCAGCTCTGTGAGCGCTGCTGCCGTCTCCGGCTTGAACTCGGAGTAGTCGAGCGGCTTGCCAGAGTACAGCTTCAGCGACAGGTCTGAGTTGTCGTCTTCGCGCGAGCTCTTTTCTTGACCCCGGTTGCTGTCCCGCCAGTCGAGTATTCTGTGCGCCACATCTACTGCCAGCTCCCGTCGCCGCGTGTCGGGGTTCTTGCCCTGCTGTTCGCTGCCTTTGCCATTATGCGCATTTCCTTCCCATGTCGCATGCAGCACTACGCCGCCCACGACGCCTATTAGCACAAGTCCGACTCGGCCGAGTATAAGGTATGTGCCCGCGCTGAGGCCTACGAGACATGCTCCAAGCGTTTCATTGCTGGCAGTCGCCAAGAAATGTAGAGTGCGGTCGGTAAGCGCTTTTACATCCAGCGACGGCGCTTTCTGCGCGTCTTTTTGCACGTCTTTCGCCTCTGCGCTTCGTATATCGGGTATGTCGCCGAGGTTCTCGGGGTCGGAATCGCGCGGAGTAGGGGGAGCCAGAGCTGCGTCGGTCATGGTGGTTGTGTGTGCGCCAACATCGGGCACTCGCAGACAAAGGGATGTCTTGGGCTATCGTGGAGGTCTCAGGAATGAAGGGCGAGCTAAACGTGGCGTCAATTCCAGCCGATGCTGGCGTTGCGGGCTGTTTCACTGCTGGTGATCTGAAAGGGCTCGGCGAAACGTAGCCCCGCCCCGCCCCGCCGTCTGGGGTACCTTCAACTCGCAACAATCAACGATATTTTTAAACTTCACCCCTAGACCACCACATCGTGTCCAAGTGCGCTTCCCAGCACAGCCCATCATGAGCGCCGATGCACCCAACGACCCTGAGATCCTCGCGCACGTCGAGAAGTTCTGGGAAGGTCGCAAGCCGTCCAGTCCCATCTACCAATTCTTGCTCGATGACATCAAAATCACCTATGCGTCCAAGGGCGTTGTCCGCGCACGCCTGCCCCTGACTAACAACCACGTGAACACGCACGGAGGCATCCATGGCTCTGTTTCAGCGACACTCATCGACTGGGTCGGCGGCATCGCCATCGCTGCATGGGACAACCGCACCAAGACGGGAGTAAGCACAGACATCCACATTTCCTACCAGAGTTCTGCCAAGGCTGGAGACACGATTGAAATCGAGGGCAAGGCTGGCAAGGTTGGCGGCACGCTGGCTTTCACTACTGCCACGATATGGAAGTTGGTGGACGACAAGCCGGGACCGATAGTCGCGACTGGATCTCACACCAAGTTCGTCAAGATATGATGCACTCTGTGAGGTTGCGAGTTTGCTATACCTCCATGCAAACTCCGTTCACGCCATCTTTTTTGGGCTCTCATCTTACGCACCATAGATGAGGTACTCACTCGGATGGCGGAGATCAAAGACTTCTATGCTTCAACAATCCGTGCTCTAGCCTTCAAGCGACGAGAACACGGGAAGCGTGGAGGTCGACATACATACGACACAATGCAACATCATGATTTTAAAACGTTACAATGTTTCTTCAACCTGATTTATCATATCGCGAGTCATATTACGTTTGTCCAAACCTTGCGCTGATTAGCTTTACACTGTTTAGAAACATTATCACACATTGGTATCACTACTGCACGGGCATCCTT